CAGTGCGCTGGGCCTGCTGCCTGCGTTTCCCGTGGGTGCACAGGGCAGCACTGCGGCTCTGACCAGGCTGTTTCTCTAAAGCGTGGGGCTGGCGTCGTGTCTTCCACATCATACAGGAGCGAGAAGTGCTTTCTGGGAAAGCAGAGGCCTTCTCCATCTGCATCTTGCGGGGCCAGTGGGGCTTCTGGCCTGGGGGACAATGGCATTAGCATATGGCCTTTCCAGTCCCTGTGCCAGATTGCATCACATTATTGCTGACACCCGGGGGCCACTTCCTCCTCCTGCCCACCCTCAACCCCACATGGTCCCTGTCCAGCAGCCAGCCTCCCGTGCCTTGAGCCCATGTGCCCCTGGCTGCCCGGAGCTCCGTACAATAGCACCCCTGGCAGCGAGCAGGCACCAGCCGGGCCAGCATTTCCTCCTCGGATGTATAATAGCACCAGCCGGATATTTTTAGACGGCTTTGAAAAGTCACAGTGTGTGAGACCGCATACCAGACGCATGAGGTCACCAGGCGCGGGAGCAGCCTCAGCCTGCACGGTAATCGCGGAACCAGAAGGCCAGCCCCCCAGTGGCCTTGGCGGTGGGGAGGGCATCTCCAACTCCCCCCCCTCCGCAGGCATTCCCACTTGTCTGTCCCCAGACCAGGCCTGGCTGTCATTTAGAAAATGCCACAGGGGCTTGTCCTGGGGGGTGGAAGTGAGCCCTGTGACTGACTCCAGGGTGTCCAGGCACCAGGGGAGCCTCAGCCCAGAGGCAGACTCTCTCCTACCTTGGACGCCCCACCACCGATGACAGCGCCGCACAAGGACAGGCCTCCAGCCTGTAGTTAGGGCGCTTAGCCGGCTTCTTGGGCCACTTCCCTGGGTTCCCTTGGGTGGACTTCATAGACCTCTCGGGTGAGGCTGACTGGAAGCCTGGGCACAGGATGCTTCCTCAAGTCTCAACACAAGGCAGGACATTGCTGGGTCCCCCACAGGGTGGGGAGGGCCTGGCCTGGCCCCAGGCTAAGGCACCTCTCCTGCCTGAGTTCCAGGCCTGACCTGCGGTGGGTGGAGCCTGAGGAAATGGGAACAGTGCCCAGGGACGCCTGGGCCAACCCTGGGGAGGACGGAGGTTAAGCCTGGGGACGCGGCTTTGTCACCTCAGGGCCCTCCACACTTGGGCACAGCATGTGTGGGACCCTCAGTGAGAGCCCAGGTGCCCATCTGTATCAGCCGTGTACAAGGCCCCTGCAGGCCCTCCCCAGGCACCAAGCCGCTGCCCTCGCTGAATGGACCTGTCACTTAGGAGGCCAGGTCGTGCCCCTGGGGCCTTCTCCTTATCACTTCCCACTTGGCATCTCGACTCTGCTGTCGCCCCACAGCCCGTGTCCCTTCTGTGCCTTTCCCACAAGTGATCAGCCAGAATGTGGAGGAATTTACCCACACCACGTGGGCCCAGGTGTGACCTTTATCTGGCTTCAAGCTCTGTCCAGGCCTCACACTGAGCCAGTCTCTGGGCCTTCCACTAATAGATGCTTTCCTATGGAATTCTCCCTTTGGGCTGCCCCACAAACTCCTGTCATTGATTGTCTTAGTCCATTTTCTGTGGCTATAACTAAATACCAAAGACTGGGAACTTTATAAAGAATAAGAGTTTACTAAGGTCAAGGGGCTGCATCTGGTGAAGGCCTTCTTGCTGGTGAGGACTCTGGGCAGAGTCCCAAGGTAGCACAGAGCATCATATGGCAAGACAGCAAGCTGCTAGTTTAGGGTACCCCCTCTTATAAAGCCATCATGAAGACCCATCCTCATGGCCTCATCTAATCTCAGTCACCTCCCAAAGTTCCTGCCTGATCCCACCTCTGACGCCTCTCAAGGCAAGTTACATTTCATCTGAGTGTTGTTTAGTGTTTGGGGACCTGCGATTGAACCCAGGGGCCTGACCACTTAGCCACACCCCCAGCCCTGTTTATATATTTTATTTAGAGTCAGGGTCTCCCTGAGTTGCTTAGGGCCTCGCTAAGTTGCTGAGGCTGGCTTTGAACTCACAATCCTCCTGCCCTAGCCTCCCAAGCCCCTGGGATAACAGACGCAGGCCACTGTGCCTGGCTCAGCATGAATTTTGGGGGGACCTTTAGACCATACCAGTGACAGACCTGTAGCAAACTACCACCTACCAGGTGGCCCATGGGATGCATTTCTCCAGTTTCAGAGTGAGAAGGGCAAGGTGAGGGTACCCACAGATCTGGCATCTAGGAAGGCCCACTTCCTGGTTCACAGAAGATGTCTCTGTCTGCGTCCTTACCTGGTGGGAGGCGTGAGGGAGTTCCCTGTTGTCTCCTTTTCCCTGTGCTAGAAATGTCCTGAGCTGGGGTGGACCCCAAGGGTCCCTACCACAGGGTTTCACTGGCTTCGAGCTTGCGATCCTCCTGCCTCAGCCTCCCAAGTTGCTGGGTTTCAGGTGTGTGCCCTGCACCTGACATGATCGTCTCTTACCAGGGCCCTAGTCTCACTCATGACAGTGGCAACCTCATGGCCTATCTCCTCCTGGAGCCCCCTAATGCCAGTTGAATGTCCTTTATCTAAAACACTTGGGTCCAGAATTGTTTTGGAATTTGGATCTTTTTAGACGGGAGAGTATTTGCATTATATACTGAGATCTCTCAGGGTGGGACCCAGTCTAAATATGGCATTCACTGATGTGCCAGATGCACCCCATGCACGTGGCCTGAGGGTGATTTCATACACTCTGACTAGTTTTTTGCCTGAGTGATGCACACACTTGTCACGGTGTCTAGGGAGGCCAAGGCCGGAGGACTACTGAAGCCCGAGAGTTTGAGACCAGCCTGGGTAACATAAGTGGACCCATCTCAGAAAATAAAACTAAACACTGTGTGTGTATATATATATGGGAGTGTGCATGCGTGTGTGTGTGTGTATAAATATTTGTTGTTCGTGAAGCAGAAGTTTCATGATGTGGAATTTTCCACATGTAGCATCACATCAGACTCAGAAACTTTCAGTTCTTCCCACTGACTCAAGAAGCTGAGACCGGAATCGCAAGTTCAAGGCCAGCCTGGACAGCTTAGCAAGAACCTGTTTCAAAATGTGAAAAGGGCTGAGGGTACGGCTCAGCGGTGGAGCGCCCTGGGTTCACTCCCCAGCAAAGAGGGAGTGTCTTCAGTGTGACCCTGCGTGCCTAGCCCCCTCCCCTCAGCCTTCTTTCTCCACTGCCCACCTCTGCCCCCATCAGAGGGGGATCTTGGCAGTGGCCTTGCCACCTACTCCCCTGCGACCTGGCTTCCTGCACGGTGCGGCCTTCTCAAACAGGAGCGCTGTCAGCCCAGCAGATTTCTCTCTGCCACCAGACTTCCCTTTCTGTGTGAGACCTCAGTGTCACCTCCTCCTGTCTCCTCTTCCCCCGCCACTGGGGCCAGATTATGGGACCAGCTCGGTCTCCTTGCCCCTCTTCTGCCAGGCCCCATGGCCCCCACCTCCCTCGGCCTCTCCCTTCCTGCCCTGGGCACCTTCCCTGCCCCACAGTCTGCCAAGACTGTCCTCCCCTCTCTCTTTCAACCCTCTGGGTCAGCGGGTTCGCGGTTGGGAGCAGTTCCTGGGCACCTGGGCGTCAAGGGGTGTTCTGACTTAATCTGGGTGGTGGTTGCCCCAGAGTGGCACACACCTTCCCTACCTGCGGGCTCCTCGGGACAGGTCGGGACTGTTGTGCTGTGACACAGGAGTGGGGCACTGACTCGTGCCACCGAGCCTCAAGAACACGGTGCCGAGTGACGGCAGCTGGGCACACCAGGCCTCCGAGCACAGGATGCAGCCCATGGGGAGTGTCCCGGACCGGCAAATCCAGAGGCAGATCCCAAAGGCAGATCGGGAGCCACCAGGGGCTGGGGCGGGAGTGACTAAGGGACAAGGCTTCCTTTTGGGGGATGAAAACGTTCTGGAACCAGATAGAGGTGCTGCACAGGCTGTGAACGCGCTGAGTGCCATTGGACACGCCTCTGCGCCCGCTTCTGAAGGGCGAGCTGGTGCGCTGCTTGTACTCCCAATTTAAAAACTCCCCAGTGCCTTCCTCCCGGACTCCTGGCTCTTCCGAGCTGGGCCTGCCTGCTCCTTGCCTGCTGCCCAGCACAGCCTGAGCCCAGATGGGCCCAGAGGCTGGCAGGACCTTCTGGAGAGCCCCAACAGTATGTCCTCGTCGCAGATCAGATGCTGTCACGGCCCCAGCTGCATCTGGAGTGCATGGTGCCCATGGAGACCCGTGCAGGCCTGGCCAGGAGCTGTCGGCACCTGGCCTCACGGACCCCAAAGTGCACCCTATGCATAGTGGTCCAGGGGTCCTCTGTACCCGTGGCTTCCACGTCCGCAGATTCAGCCAACCTTGAGTTGAAAATACCCTCAGGGGACGCAGAATGGCATTCTGTCACACTCAGACTTCCTCAACAATGTTCCTAAGCAGCTCAGGTAGCAGCAGTTTCCGGAGCATTACATGTGTTAGGGATGGCGCGTCACCCAGAGGAGACTGAAACACGGGAGACGTAGGAGGTCCCGAGCGCTCTCTGTGTCCCTCGTGAGGAGACTTGAGCATCCCGGGGTGTTCATATCTGGGATGTTCCTGGAACCAGTCTCCTTGGACATGGGGGCGGGCAACTGTAACTGAAGAAGTTCCGAAACTGACTTTTCTGTTGGTTTGCTGTGGCGGGGCTGGACCCGGGGCCGGACCCAGGGCCGGCCACACTCGGCACGCGTTACCTCAGAGCCGCCCCAGCCCGACAGCTGGCCTTCTAACTGCCAGAGCCTGAGCACCTAGCACCCCACACGGCCCAGCCGCAGAGACCGGCGCACTTCAGCTGCCCACTGCTGTGATGGCCAGTTCTCCTGGTCCTGTGGGTGGTGACTTGCAGATGGCTCTGTGGACACAAACTCGGTGCCAGAGGGAGCCCTGGGCTGAGGCCCGTGGGAGCCTCACCTGGGGTCTGAGCCCTGCCTCTGTTCCCTGCACAGGCCTTCGGGAACGCCAAGACAGCCCACAACAACAACTCCAGCCGCTTCGGGAAATTCATCCAAGTCAACTACCTGGAGAGCGGCATTGTGAGAGGGTGAGTCCCCTCCCTGCCGGGGGTAGGGGGGAGCCGGGGGTGGACAGGGCAGGTTTTTGCCTCATGCGGGGAAGCAGATGCGTGGACCCTGGGGAATGTTCAGGGTCCAACCTACAGCTCAGCCACTGCGGGTGTGCTCCTGAGGCCTTGCGAGGTCCTCACAGCGGGTCGAGGTAGGAAACGGGGTGAGGGCGGGGGTCTGCGGGAGCAGGTGTGCTGAGCTGGAGGCGCTGGTGTGAGGCATTGCCAACCCCGGTGAGGACAGCCAGCCTGCTTCCTGGTCTTGGTGTAGGCGTGTCACAGGCCAAATGGATGTGGCCTTGACATTTGCTGAGCATGTGCTCCTTGAGATGTGACGCTCGCTCGGTAGCAGGTGAGGCGGTTGTCCAGGGGAGTGCTGAAGGGAGGTGGGGTTCCTGAGTGGATATAGGGACAGGTTGGTGGGTGGCAGGCGAAGGGTGGGTAGATGGGTGAATGTGGCCGGGGGTAGAGGGTCTGTAGGTGACCCGTGGACAGCACCCAGCAGGGCCCTCTGCTGGCTCCTCACGGGGACCTTCCCACAGCTGCAGTGCTGGCGGGAAGGTCTGCGAGGCAGTGGGGTTGGTCAAGGCCCTCAGTGTGTTCTTCTGCCTAAGCCTGGCCAGCAGCTGCTTCCCAGACGGTCCACGCGGGGCCTGAATGCAACTGCTGTTCTCTTGGATCCTCCAGCCTAGCGTCTGCCCTTTTCCCACTGCCCAGGCTCAGGTGGCAGTAGGGAGGGTGACGTCAGGGTCTGCTTTGGCCCCCCGGGCCCGATGATTCTCCGGTGCCTCAGCCCCCAAAAGCCACTCAGTGGTTCCTTCAGCTGCTGCCGTGGGCATCTGTGCCCCAGCTGATCAGAGACCCCTGCAACCAGCCGCCCGCCCTTCAGCCTTCACTTGTCCTCCACGATGAACCCCTTCCCACCCCATGGTTTCTTATTAAAATACACGTCCTGGGGGCCCAGGGTGGCTCAGAGCACTTGCCTCGCATGTGGGGGCTCCAGGTTCCAGCACCTCGGGAAAGTTATAAGAGAAGAATGGGGACCGACTCTGTCGCAGCCCTGGAAGCCACGAGTCTGTCAGGTGTCACCAGACTCCTTTGGGAAGCTCCAAGGGTCCTTCCTGGCCACCGCCTCCCCAGGGAGCCTCTGGCGCCTCCAGCTCTCCTGGGCTCGCAGTGGCGTCATCCCGTCCCTGCCTGTCTGTGTGTCTTTCCTGTCCTCTTATAAGGTCATTTGTCATTGGATTTAAGGCACACCCAGATCATGAAGGATGATCTCAAGATCCTCAATGACATCCACCAAGACTTTTTGTCCAAATGCAGTCACCCCGCCCGATCTGTGAAAGATGCTGAGACCCCCGGGGGGTGACTGAAACCTCAAACACTGCCGGCCCTTACGTGTGCTGGTTCTCCCAAGACACACACGTGTATTTTTAATCCTTTTTAATTGTATGTGGACACAACACCTTCAGTTATTTTATATGGTGCTGAGGATCGAACCCAGGGCCTGGCTTGTGCCAGGCGAGCCTCTGCCCCTGAGCCCAGCCCCGCCCCAGGCCCCGCCCTGCCCCAGCACACTGCCCTGGTCGGCTTCCAGCTGCACACGATGCCTGAGGTAACCAACTCAGAAGAGGTCTGTTTGGGCACCTAGTTGGGGAGGTTCCAGGCCGTCACTGACCCCCCATTGCTCTGGGCCTGTGCTTAAGCAAAACGTCAGAGCAAAGCAGAACCATTCCAGCATGAGCCAGAGAGCCAAAGAGGAGAAGAAAGGGGCCAGGGTTCCACAGCCCCTTCCAGGACCCGCTCCAGGGACCTAAAATCCCGCCCCCCGCAGGCCCATCTCCTGAAGGTCCCATCACGCCCAGTGGCACCACTGGCTGGGAGCAGGTCTTTAACACATGACCCTGGGGGATGTTCAGGGTCCAACCCACAGCTCACATCTGTGGTCAGTTTTCACCTTTCACTTAAGGGAAGCACTTCACAGTCCTCCGACATATCCAGATTGTCAGAGGCGACACTCTTGTGCTTTGGGGCCATTATCAGGGAAAGTAAGAGGTACTTGGACCAGCCAGGTGTGGTGGTCCTTGTCTATAATCCCAGCACTCAGGAGGCTGAGGCAGGAGAATCAAAGTTCAAAGCTGGCCTCAGCAATTTAGTAAGGCTCTAAGCAATTTAGGGAGACCCTGCTCAAATAAAGAGAATTTTTTTTAAAAGGAGAAGGCAAGGCGTGTGACTCAGTGATTAAGTGTCTCTGGGTTTAATCCCTGGCACCAAAAGAAAAAAAAAAAGTTACTTGAACCAATCACATCCATCTAGTGAAAAATGATCTGATAACCAAGATGGCTACGAACTGGCAGGTAGCATATACAGCCTGGACACACTGAACAGAGGAATGATTCCTGGGTTCTGGAGTGGTGCAGCATACCATCACACGACTTAGAATGATGTGCAATTCAAAACTGAGGCATTAGGGGTTAGGAATGTGGCTCGGTGTTAGAGCTCTTGCCTAGCATGCAGGAGGCCCTAGGATCCTCCCCCAGCACCACAGGAAAGAAAGGAAAGAAGGAAGGAAAGCTCAAAACTTATGAATTGTTTATTTCTGGAATTTTTCATTTAATAGTTTCAGATCTTGGTGGCTGTGGATAACTAAAATCACAGAACATGAAGCCGAGGACAAGGAGGGACACATTCTGGGTTCCAAGTGACATAGCTTCTGAGGGACCTAATTGAACCCATGATACCAGCCTGCCCTGCCTGCTGCAGGCTCCCATCGAAGCCAGCAGCCTCGGATCTCACAGATGAGCTTCTGGAAGTGCCGCCCGTGCCGAGGCTTCTGGAGAGGAATTCCCACCTGAGCCACACCAGGGCCCAGCCTCGCTGTGGGGGTGCCCTTCCTGTCCTGTCCTGGGAGCAGACTCTGATCCAGTTCTGCTTTAGTTCATTTTGGGCAGGTGACGTTTCTCAAGGCCAAGGGCAGGGGCAGTCCAAGCCTACCCAGCTCCTGGGGGGCGGAGTGGAAGAAGACGGTTTTTTTTTCCTCCTATTTTGAAGCGAGTGAGGACTCGGGTGTGAAGACCCCTGTGCGTGCCACGCCTCCTCCTGCAGACCTGCTGTCCTGGAGAGAGGCAGGTGTGTCCAGCCAGCCCTAGACCAGGGGCCTCGTGCCGTCCCAGACCCTGCTCTCCCTCGGCACAGCTGTGTTCCCTGTAAAACAGCAGGCTTGGAGGAGGTGGTCTGCAGGCACCACCCAGCTCCGTCCAGTGACAGTGGGACCCGCCCACACCCTGCCCCTCCAGACCTGTGGAGCCCTGATGGGTGCGGAAATAGCATCCAGGCCACCTCCCTCCATGGGCTCCTGGCAGCGCATGGCCTCTCCACCCTCAGCTCCCGTCTATCAGCAGGCACCTCGGCCGCCCCATGAGTGCTGTAGGCGATGCCTAGAGCACAGTCGATCCCCAGGAAGCACTCACGGCTGCTTCTACAGGTGACCATCCCTAATCCAAAAGCTCCAAAATCCAAAAGTTCTGAGCACCAACACGATACCACAGGTGGAAAAGTTCACACCCGGCCTCATGGGAATGGGTTGCAGACAAAACAAGGGTGCACTCAGAAGACTGTAAAAATCACCTCCAGGAGGTACACATGGGATACATGAGACACAGGTGGATTTTGTGTCTGGACTCAGGCCCTGTCCCCAAGATCTCTCTCAAATGTACATAAACATTCCAGAATCTGGAAACAAAATCCAAAACATTTCTGGTCCCAGGCCTTTTGGATAAGGGCTCCTCAGCCTGCATCAGCTTGGAGACTGGCTGCACAGGCACCCTGTCTCGGCTCCAGCACCCCCATGGCCAAACTTCCCATGAGTACTGCAAGAATTTAATTTGGAAGAAACATTCACTGTTGGGTACAAAGGAAGTGATCAATAAATGGCTGAGTACCAGCGTGCAGCAGAGAGCCCTGCTCTTCAGAAAGACACCAACAGAAATGAAGAGGCCAGTCTCAGATCCAGAGAAGGCATGTGCAGATCGGACCCCCAGCAGAGGACTTGTGTTTACAGCGCAATAATAGCTGTAAGAGAAAGACCTCAGGAGACGCTCCTCAAAAGAGATGTAGGGCCAGGCGCGGTGGCACATGCCTATAATCCCAGCAGCTTGGGAGGCTGAGGCAGGAGGGTCACGAGTTCAAAGCCAGCCTCAGAAACTCAGTGAGGTCTCTAAATATGAAAAATGGCTAGAGATGTGGCTCAGTGGTTAAGCATCCTGGGTTCAATCCTCAGTACCAAAAAAAAAAAAAGGGAGGGGGAGAGAGAGAGAGAGAGAGAGATGTTGGGTTAGAGGTGCAGGTCAGTGGTGGAGCACTTGTCTAGCATGCATGAGCCCTGGGTTCCATCCCCAGCACCACAAGGGAGAGACGTTCACATGCAGCAAGCACACGAAGATGCTGAGCATCACTAGTCCTCAGGGAAACGCAAGTCAAAACCGCCGTGTCACCCCGGCTAGGACGACTGGAATGAAAAAGGAGACTCAAAAACCGTTGGTGGGCTTGTGAAGAGAGTGGAACTCCCGCGCTGCTCCTGGGAGTGGAAGACACCGCAGCTGCCTTAAGAAAATATTTAGCAGTCCTTAAAACTGGGCATGGAATTACCACGGGACCCTGCAGCAGTTCCACCCATGGGCACTAGCCCAGGAGAAACGGGAACACAGTAGGTCCATATGAAGACTCAGTGTACACACATGTCCACGGCAGAATCGTCTCAAATACCCTAAAACTGGAAACAGCACACATGCTCACCAGCAAAATGTTCATCCATACAGTGGAATATTATTCAGCCATAAAAAATGGGAAAAAAGGAATGAAGTTTGTATTCATGTTGCGGTGTGGCTGCATCTCAGGACCATTGTGCTGAACATAAGAAGCCAGACACAGGCTGGGGCTGGGGCTCAGGGCAGAGCGCTTGCCTGACATGTGTGAGGCCCTGGGTTCGATTCTTGTACCACATAAAATAACCAAATTAAAACAAAGGCATTCTGTTCCTCTACAACAACTTAAAAAATAAGTTAATTAATTAAAAAAAAAAGGAAGCCAGACACAGTGTCCCTACTGTAGAATTCTGTGTCTTTGACTGTTAGTAAAGGCCCACTGATCTGTGGTGGCAGAAAGCTAGTTGGTGGCTGCTTGAGGGTGGGGGACAGGGAGGGATGATGAGGTGCGGAGACTTTAGGGCACTGGATGTTTGCTATCTCGATCCTGGTAGTGGTTGTCCCAGGGTTTAAGCATGTCAGAGATTGAATTGTGCACATTGAATGGGTGCAGCTTATTGTGTGTCGGTAATCAGTAAAGTGTCAGCGTGGATCGGTTGCCTTCTGTTTACGTTTTCCATTAGAGTCTACACAAGCAAATGAGTAAAATTGAGTCATGATCCTCAAATAACTTTGTTTTGCAATTGGAAAAATATTTCATCGTTGGGGAGCAGGGTGCACATTCTGGGGTAGTCCTTGAGTGAGTGGGTTTGGTGGTCCAGGTCTCGCAGGATGCCTGTCGGGCTTCCAGGTCCAGCCATGGTCAGCTCAGGTTCCTGTTTCCATGGATCCTTGCTGGAAGGCAGGACCGGCAGCTGCAGAGGGCTTCATGTGTGTCGCACTGAGGGCAGGTCATCTGCAGCCGCCAGGAGCCACAGCACCAAGTACAGAGTGACACAGTCCTTCAAGAAAAAAAAGCTCAGGCCGGGGTGCAGCTCATTCACTCTGGGTTCCACCCAACAACTGGCGAAGAAAGCAAGCGTTAAAATCATACCAAAATAGGTGACTTCTTGTTTCTTTCGATGACAGAGCTGTGGTTGAAAAATATCTGCTTGAAAAGTCTCGCCTGGTCTCTCGGGAGAAGGATGAGAGGTACGGGATGATTCCTTAGGGGCCCTTTGAGTGCACCCCTACATCTGCCTTTGTCCCTGCCAAGGGCAAAGCAAGTATCCTGGGGTCCGGGGAACTTGAGGGGAAGTGTGGCTGATCCTCTGGGAGCAAGGATGTGTCCCGGCCAGCCTCCTCCCCTCCCGCCTCCTCCCCGCCCACTCCCTTGGCCTCGAGCTTCATGCTCCCTTTTGTGCCTCTGAGGACCTTACCCACCGTAGGTGTTCAGGGATCTGCCCAAAATGTGGTTAGATCAGAAACGGCTCTGATTGACGGGAGCAAGACTCGTGCCCAGCCCCCAGCCCTCGCTTGACCAGTCCCATGGTTTTATAAGTCGTAATAAAACCAACTTGGGCTTTGAGTTTATATGCACTCGTGTGGTGTCTCAGACATGTGAAGTGGCTCTGCTTGGCCTGCAGAAATGACTCTTTTCCCTCCTTTTGACCCACAGGAACTACCACGTGTTTTATTATTTGTTACTCGGTGTCAGCGAGGAAGAGCGCCAAGAGTTTCAGCTTAAGCAGCCTGAAGATTATTTCTACCTCAACCAGGTAAACAGCCACCAGCCCCAGCCACACAGGTCACCTCTGTCCCCTTGGGCTGTTTAGGAGGCCAGAGGCCGCCTGCCTTGGCCCTCCTCGGCCTCCAGACTGGCTCCAAGGAGGCGGCATAAAGGAGCCCATTCACGCCCTCCGCCTTGGGCCCTGCCCCATCGGTCCCCGCCAAAATCACCCTCACAGGCCACCCTCGCCAGCCCGGAAACACCCACGGTGCCAACGCCTTTGTTTTTTCAGCATAACTTGAACATTGAAGATGGAGAAGACCTGAAACATGACTTTGAGAGACTCAAGCAGGCCATGGAGATGGTGGGCTTCCTGCCGGCCACTAAGAAGCAGTAAGTGGGCATCAGCCAGCCTGTCATGCCTGCAGGGGGCGCACGGGCTCCTGCACTCAGATCTGACCCACAGCCCAGTAGAAAACAGGCAGCGTCCCAACAGAATCAGGCTGAGAAGGGCAGCGCGGTGCCAGCGGGCACAGGAAGGGAGTCAGCCCTGGCCCCAGGAGGCCAGTCAAAACAGTCGTGCTTTTATTTAAAAACAAGCTCAGCATGGCCCAGGAGGAGCAGCCCAGCGACTCAGGAAGCCACGGCAGGAGGGACACTTGCACCCAGAAGGTCAAGGCCAGCCCGGGCCGCATAGTGAGACCCCTCTCAAAAAGAAGAGAAAAGGGCTGGGCTGGGGCGGAGCAGGAGAGCGCCTGCCCGGTGCGAGTCCCTGGTTCCGTTTCCAGCACCATAAAAGAAAAAAAAATTAAAACCACCTGAGGCGCTCTCCATTCCTGCCCAGGTGGACGGGTGGACAGCCAGTACCCACTGTGCACACGCTCACATGCCCCTGGGAGGACACCGATCAGGGCAGCGACTTTGGAAAACCACGCGGCCGTCTCTACAGAAGCTGTGTGTGTGCGGCCAGACTCGCGCATTTGTTCCCTGTGGTCACGTGCATGGGTCCCACGGCTTCCTCCCTTATACCCCAGAGAAACCGGGACCCCTCAAGCCCCCAGCAGGAGATTCAGTAAATAGATTCCAGGGTATCCTGCAGGAGGTGGCAGGCTCTTGACGAAGGCCAGATACTGACCGCTTGAGCCTCGCAGGCCAGAGCCTCGGTGTGTGCTTTCCTGTGTTTCATTTTGTTTCTTTTGTGGTACGAGGGGTGGAACCCAGGGGTGCTCTCACCGAACTCCATGTACCTCAGCCCTTTTTATTTTTACGTTTTGAGACAGGGCCTCTCTAGATGGTCCTGGCTGGCCTTGGACTTGCCTTAGCCACTCTCATTGCTGGGATGACATACTGTGCCACCACGCCTGGCCTCAGACCACAGAAACGGGCCGTGTGTGCAGAGTTCTGGCCCCTCCACAGGAGCCACTCTCACCCAGGGTCCCCTCTGCCCCCAGGGACACTTGCTGGCGTCTGAGTCATTTGGGGTTGTCCCAGCAGTAAGGAAGGGAGTTGGGTGCTCCTGGCCTCAGGTGGGAGGAGGCCAGGGTGTGCCCAGCAGCCTGCAGTGCACAGCCCCGTGGCAAAGGGACACCCGGCCCCAGTGCCAATAGTCAGGCCACAGCCACACACAGGGTCAGGGACAACAGGTCCCCCAACAGCCCTTGGTGACAGCTGGCCAGACCCAGCTCTGCAGGGCACATCAGAGGTCAGGCCCATGGTGGCTCAGGAGATTGGGCTTCTGCTGGTTCCGGAGGCCTGTGCCCCTGTGACGATCCCACGGGCGCCACGTGGGAATCGTGCTTTTGTGTTCACGCATGGTGTCCCTCCACTGAAAAAGCACATTTTAGCCAGGTAGTGGCCCACGCCGTGACCCCGGCCACTCAGGAGGCTAAGGCAGGAGGGTTGCAAGTTCAAGGCCAGACTCAGCAACTTAGTGAGACTCGGTGTAAGATAAAAAGGGCTGTGGGTATAGGTCAGTGGTTGAGCGCTTGCCTAGCGTGAGCAAGGTCCTGGGTTCTGTACCCAGAACCCCGCCCAGAAAATGTTTTTTGTAGCTCTCCCTCTCCTTTTTAAAAAGTCAAGGGGCTGGGGACAGAGGTCAGGGGTGGAGCACTGCTCGGCATGCGTGAGGCCTTGGGTTCCATCCCCAGCACCAAAACAGAATAAGTCCAAGGAGCCGTCCACACAGAGGGCGGCGTCCACAGAGAACAAGATGATCTTCAAGCTCCTTCAGTTCTCATTGGAACTTGCTGGGTTTACAAGTTCAGCCCGTCCCTGGCCCCTTTTCTTATCTTACAAATGTAGAGGCAGCCCCACTGTGCGCGCTTTCTCTCTCCCAGGATTTTTTCCGTCCTGTCAGCCATCCTGTACCTGGGCAACGTCACTTACAAGAAGAGAGCCACGGGCCGCGACGAAGGCCTGGAGGTCGGGCCCCCCGAGGTGTTGGACACGCTGTCCCAGCTCCTGAAGGTACTGCCGACCCACGCCACTGCCAGCTCCTGCCCTCAGCTCGACTCAGGGCAGTGGCCACCTTTTCAATCAGGGGACACGTGCCCAGAACTTCCTCTGCCACCAGGGTTTTGTAAACCAGGGCTCATCGGCCTGCTTCCTCCTTGTCCCTCTGCAGCGCCTCTTCCTCATTTCGGATGAACTCCCTGGTCAGGGCCACCTCCCACTTCAGCCCTTCAACCAAAGGCTCCTTTAAAACCATAGTTTGTCAGGGCTCAGTGGCACGCAGCTACTCGGAAGGCCAAGGCACAAGGATCGCTTGAGCCCAGGAGTTTGGAGCCAGTCTAGGCAGCATCAGGAGACCCTGTCTCAAAAACAGCAACCATGCCGGCCTAGTGGTCCACGCCTGTTATCCCCGTGGCTCGAGAGGCTGAGGCAGGAAGATCATTAGTTCAGAGCCAACCTCAGCAACAGCAAGGTGCTAAGCAACTCAGTGAGACTCTGTCCCTAAATAAAATACAAAAAAGGCTCAGTGGTTGAGTGTCCCTGAGGTCATCCCCAATACCCAAAAAAAAAAATCTACCACAGTTTGATCAGCAAGGTCATTTTTGTTTTTTGGGATTTTTTAAATATTCATTTTTTAGTTACAGATGAACACAATATCTTTTTTTTTTTTTTTAACTTTTATGTGGGGCTGAGGATGGAACCCAGTGCCTCATGCATACTAGGCGAGTGCTCTAACTCTGAGCCACAACCCCAGCCCCAGCAAGGTCATTTTTGCATCCAATCTGTCATCTCCTCATCCACTGCTTTTCACCTATAGGTGATTCTGCCCCTGGGGGGACTCTAGACAAGGTCTGCAGACAGTTTTGACTATCAAACTAGGGGACTGCTCCTGGCATCTGGTGAGTGGAGGTCAGGGAGGCTCTGCAAGCCCCGGATGGCCTGTGTGGAGATTGCCACAGGCCAGGTGTAAACCGTGAACCCCAGGCGGGGCCGAGATCCTCCGCCCCTGTCTGTACGTTTTCCTTTTCCCAAGTCCTGGGGATGGAACCCGGGGCCTCACACATGCTAGACAAGTGCTCTACCTCTGAGCTGCACCCCCAGCCCTTTTTACTTTTTTTATTTTGAGATAGAGTCTCACTAAGTTGCCCAGGCTGGCCTAGAATGGCGATCCTCCCGCTTCACCTCCTGAGTCTCTTGGGCTTACAGGCGTGAGCCAGGGTGCCCTGACATGCAGCCTTTCCTAGGGGGTCATCAGGCCCCATCTTCTGTTGCGCTCCTAAGAGTGCGTGAGCAACCACTGGGAGATGAGGGGAGATCCTGCCCCTGGTGGACAGGCCGGCTCAGGAAGGGAGGAGTGCGCTGGGTCTCTCACCTGCACCCAGGATGGACACAGGCTCTGCGTGCAGGTTGCCAGGTGACCCCTGGGCCAGTGGTCCCCAGTCACACCCAGGCCTGTGCACACACGGGGCCCAGCCAGCCTGTGGTGTGCGAGAATGCTCTGCAGCCCACTGATCACAGAGGGTGGGCTCTGGGGCCCACTTCCCAGCCCAGCCTCTGGGGCTGTGTCTCCCATCCTCCTGGGCTCCGGGGCCTCAGCGATGTGAAGAAATGCCCAACAGGCCCCTCACCTCCCTGTCCTTCCCTCCCTCCCTGATTTTGAAACAGGTGAAGCGAGAAATCCTGGTGGAAGTTCTGACCAAAAGAAAAACAGTGACCGTCAATGACAAGCTCATCCTGCCCTACAGCCTCAGCGAGGTGGGTGCCGCTCTGGTGCTGGGGGTGCAAGGCCAGAACACAAGAGCCAGCAGGGGTGACTTCCTCCTCTTCCTGTGGTTCAGGAGTAGAACCTGGCAGTGCCCCTGCCTCCACGTGAGCCCTAGTGTGGCCAGCCCAGCCCAAAGGAGTTGCCCCTGGCCTTCAGTTCATAAGCCCCAAGACTCCAGTGGATGTCTGAAACCACAGAGAGTGAAAGTAGACTATTTTTTCCTACCCATACATCCCTGTGATAGAGCTTAATATATAAATAGGCACAATAAGAAATCAGTAGTAACTAATAATAAAACAGAATAATTGCATATTATACTATAATAAAAATCACATGAATGTGAACTCTTTTTTTCTCAAAACATTTTATTGTGCTGGGCACAGTGGCACACACCAGTGATGCTAATAACTGGAGCGACCAAGGCAGAGGATCGTCAAGTCCCAAGCCAGCCTTGGCCATTTAGAGGGATCCTGTCTAAGAATTAAAAGATCTGGGCAGAGTGTGGTATGCACACCTGTAATGCCAGCAGCTTGGGAGGCTGTGGCAGGAGGATTGTGAGTTTGGGGCCAGCCTCAGCAACTTAACAAGATCCTAAGCAACTTAGCAAGACTCCGTACCTAATAAAAGGGCTGGGGATGTTACTTAGCAGCTAAGCACCCTTGGGTCCAATCCCCAGTACCAAAAAAGAGTCTGGGGGGTATGGCTCAGTGGTGGAGGTCTTGTCTAGCATATGTGAGGCCCTCAGTTCCATCCCCAGAACTGAGGGAAGACAAATTCTGTCATACATTCATCTTTTCACCTAAAGAAACTTTTTTTTTTTTTTTTTAATTTCTCTACCCAAATTGTCAGCATCATTATTCTTGTGCTTTGGGGCTATTTGTGAGTAAAATAAGGGTTACTTGAAACAGTTGGAATAGTCGACTGATAACTGAAGCAACTAAGTGACTAGTGGGTGGCTGGCATATACAGTGTGGCCCCTGGACAAAGACTACCCAGGTGGGATGGAGTTGGACTGCAGGAAAGTCCATCTCAGTGCTCAGAACGGCATGCAGTTTAAAACTAATGAATGTTTTATGTCTGCAATCTTCCACTTAATACTTTCAGACCATGGGTAGCTGTGGGTCTGTCTGAAACCATAGATAAGGGGACCCTATTTTATAAAGCTTACTGTGACCCTCAGGCCAGAACTAGAGCCCAGGGTTCCTCTCTTTGTGCCCGATGGGCGTGCTGGTCCTCACCAGCAGAGATTAGCCATGACTCCTGGGTGGCCCACCACCTGGTTTTGTAAATAAAGTTTTATTGGTACACAGCCATGCCCATTCAGTCACATACCAACCAATGCTGCTTTTTTGCTTTAGCAGCAGGGCTGTGTCATTGTAGCAGAACCCATCAGGCCCCAAAAATGAAACTGTTGACTAGTTACCTCTCTCCAGAAAATCTTTGCTGACCCCTGGGCTGGAGCATGATCCTCATGTAACCCCTGACCTGTGACTCTCAGGCCTTCACCCCAGACCTTGATAACTGCTTCCCTCGGCCTTCACCCTGCCTGGGTATTTTCTTCATGGTGTTTCTCTTGTATTTTAACAACTGAAGAGCAGTGTAGCTTGCAGCTCAGATGGCAGCAGGAAAGTCTCTAGGCACAGGGGTACTTCTTGCTGATGGTGGCCCCTTACCCAGGGGGAGCTGCTGGGGCATTTCCAGTGGGCACCATGGACAGTCTGAGCACAGGCCACAGCACCCTGCGACATTAGATGTTGCTGCAGCCTGCCTGCGACCCAGCAGCTTGGGTACCCTCTGGAGAAGCCAGGACAGTAGGAGTCACCAGGAGGGGCTGCAGTCTCTCTGGCTCCATCTCCACAACCTGCAGGAACAGCCAAGCCAGAGGGATGTGTCCCAACTCTCCAGGGCAGGTGAATGCCATTGTCACTCTGGAGAGCCAAATAGTCATGCCTCACTTGACACCGAGGATCCATGCTGAGAAATGGTTCCTTCTGGGCCTGGGGGTATGGCTCAGTGGTAGAGCGCTTGCCCAGCATGCCCCAGGCCCTGGGTCCATCCCCAGCACTACTCCCCACACATACACAACAATCAGAGAGGGCTTCGTTGTGCACACGTCCTGGAGGGGACTTCCAGGAGCCTAGACGGTGTGGCCTGCCACACCCCCAGGCACTGGCGTAGCCTGTTGCTGTGTCCACACACACATGCACGTGTTACTGTGCTGGTTCTGCAGGCAATCGTGGCAGCAACAGATGTGCATCCAAACACAAAACGGCCCAGTGAAAATACCAGGCACCGGGACTTCAGCTCCCTTGCCATCTTATTGGACCGCATGGAATAGGGGGTCTGCACAGACCGAAATGTCATCGCACAGCACATAGCCACACAAGAAGAGCGAGTCTCTCATGTTGGGCTACGGATCTCCATAAGAAGGAGGAAAGAAAGGCAAAGAGGAAGAAGGGGAGAGAGGCCGGCTGGGGCTCAGTGTGGGGTGCTTGCCTGGCGTGCGGGAGGCCCTGGGCTCTGTCCAGCGCCACACGTAATAACCAAAACACAGGCCCATTGGCAAGTAAAATATCTTTAAAAAAGAAAGAAAAGCGAACTGCTGTTGCTCTATGCACGCAGTGGTGGCTGCACGCTGTCCCCAGAGAACAAGGGACCAGCGTTTGGGCCTGGCTGAGCTCCTCTCTAGTTCCGCTGCGAGAGCAGGCCCGGCCCTCAGCAGCCTCTGTGTTGCCTCTGTGTGTGTGAGGAGGATCTGCCACCTGCAGGCCTCCTGGTGTGATTGCCACAGAGTGCCACATCCTCATGGACAGGGTGACGGGGACATGCAAAATGCAAGGCTGAGTTGGACGAGTCGGGTGTTTAAAGTAGCCATGCTGAGGAAATTAAAGAACAGATTCCAAAGTAAAACCCAGAAAGAACGAAAAATAACTAAACAAATACAGAAAGTGGAGGTTTTGTTAAATGGGAAAGAAGCCAGGTAGGTTGGTGCACACCCGTGCTCCCAGCTACCCGGGAAGCCGAGGCAGGGAATCTCTGGAGCCCAGAAGTTTGAGGCCAGCACGGGCAACAGTGAGAACCTGTCTCGAAAAAACAACAACAACATTGGCCACTAAAGCACCCCACCTGGCAAGTGTGCACAGCGCCGGGGCAACCCGACCCCAGGTGAGATGCCCCTCTGTGTCCGTAGGCCATAACTGCCCGTGACTCCATGGCCAAGTCGCTGTACGGTGCCCTGTTCGACTGGATTGTGCTGCGGATCAACCACGCCCTCCTCAACAAAAAGGACATGGAAGAGGCCGTCTCGGTGAGTACCCCGTCCCAGTCCCCCAGGCCAGGAGGGACCATGCGCTTGGTGCTGGGCGTCCTCAGTGGATGACCCATGGCATCCAGAGGCAGTCTGGGACAAGAGGCCAGTTCTCCCCAGGGGTAGGCCCAGTGACCAAGACAGTTGGGAGAATTTGAGGGGCCCAGGACAGAATAACCACTAGAGCACTTGCCTAGCATGTCCAGGGTCCTGGCTTCCATCCCCAGCATCGCAAAAAAAAAAAAAAGAATTACAGGCTTCTTATTCAGAACTGGTGGCGTGATGGTGGTGGCCCACACAGTGGCACAAGCTGGAATCCCATGTCCCCAGGAAGCTGAAGCAGCCTGGGCAGCATAGCAAGACCCTGCCCCCGAAAAGTTCCACACTGGGGACTGCAGGGTGTCCAGCCAAACCTGGGACCCCCGGGACCAAATAGGTCGCCGCTCATGAGACCAGGCCCCCCTGAGGTCAACTTTGTGGGGGGACCTGCTGCTAACTGCCACGCTCCGTCTCCCCAGTGCTTGTCCATCGGGGTCCTCGACATCTTTGGGTTTGAAGACTTTGAGAGGAACAGCTTTGAACAGTTCTGCATCAACTACGCCAACGAGCAGCTCCAGTATTACTTCAATCAGCACATTTTTAAGCTAGAGCAGGTAAGAAAAAGGCCTTTTGGGGTTTTTTTCTTTTCTCCCGTGGTGGCTGAACGCACATAACCTAAGACTGACTGTCGGGGGCTAGGAGCGGGTCCGGGGTGGAGCCGGAGGCCCTGGGTTCCATCCCCAGTGCAGCCAAGAAAGAAGGAAGAATTTTTCCATCTGAGCCGTGGTTGAGTGTTGAGCTTAGGTGCGTCAGTACCGTCACCCCACGATAGCCACGGGGACAGGCGTCTCCAGCACCTCCCATCCTCCCGCTGAGCTCTGCCTGGTCCCCTGCCCTGGCCACCGCCCTCATCCCACCTTCTCTGTGAATTGGTGACTCTGGACCTCACACCTGTGGGACCCTGGAGCACCAGCTGGTCTCCCTCCACAGTGTCCTCAGGTCCCTCCGTGGCGTCCCGTGTGTCAGCTGTTCCTTCCCTTTCTTTCTTTCTTTTTTTTTTTTTTCAGTTCTTCTGTTGTTATTTTTGGTTTTACATGACAGTAAGGTGCACATGGGCATGTCACACGTGCTCGGAACACAACTTCCCACTGGGGTTGTACGCGATGTGCGCCAGATGCGGGGCTCTGGTGGTGTGTCCTTACAGGAGCGCTCCTCCCAGTCCTCCCACTGTCTTCCCTGTTCCCGTCCCCGCTCCCTCCCCTTCGTTTCCCTTTGTCTAATCCAGTGAGCTCCTCTTCCCTCCTCCCCTCTCCTTGTTGTGTGTCACCTCCCACATATCAGAGAGAACATTTGGCCTTGGTTTTTTAGAATTGGCTTATTTCACTTAGCCTGATAGTCTCCAGTTCCATCCATTCGCCAGCAAATGCCATAATTTCATTCTTCTTTATGGCTGAGTAATATGGTTATGTCTATGTACCATGTTTCTTAATCCGTTCATCTGTTGAAGGGCATCTAGGTTAGTTCCATAGCTTAGCTATTGTGAATTGAGCTACTATAAACATTGATGTGGCTGGTCATTATAGTTACGTTGATTTTAAGTCCTTTTGGTATAAACTGAGGAGTGGGATGCGGGGTCAAACAGTGGTTCCACTCCAAGTTTTCTGGGGAATCTCCATACTGCTTTCCAGAGTGGTTGTACCAATTTGCAGTCCCACCAGCAATGTGTGAGTGGGCCTTTTTCCCCACATCCTCGCCAACATTTACTTGTATTCTTGATGATTGCCATTCTGACTGGAGTGAGATGGAATCTCAGTGTAGTTTTGTTTTTGTTTTTGTTTTTAATTTTTTTTTTTTTAGTTGTAGTTGCACCCAATACCTTAATTTATATGTGGTGCTGAGGATCATTCCCAGGGCCTCTCAAGTGTGAATGGGTGGCTCTGGACCAGTGCTGGGTGAGCACTCTACCACTGAGCCCCAGCCCCAGCCCCTCGGTGTAGTTTTGATTTGCATTTCTCGAACTGCTGGAGATCTTGAACATGTTTTCATGTATTTTTCATCATTTATTTGTATTTATTCTTCTGTGAAGTGCCTGTTCAGTTCCTTTGCCCATCTGTTGATTGGATTATTTGGGTTTTTCGGTGCTGAGTATTTGAGTTCTTTGTATAGCATTTCTTCCCTTTAAAAGCTAAGTAACTGTGGATGGGCCACATTTTTTTTTATCTGGTCATCTGCTGAGTGGACACAGGGTTGCTGCTATGTTTGGGCGTGTGCATGATGCTGCTGTGAGCACGGCTGTCTCCTTTGGGCCTTGCTTTCCCTTCATTGGGGTGCATGGCCAGAGGTGGGGTTGCTGGGTCCTCTGGTAATTTTGTTTCATTCTGGGGGAAAGCACCACGCTGCCTTGCACAGTGGCTGTGCCCAAGGGAAAATGGAACGAGCTCACTCTGGAATCTCCCTGGGGGCGCAGAACACGGAGAACTTGCCCTGAAATTTTTGTGTGCCAAAGGAAAAATTGAGAAAAATCCCACCCAGCCCCAGATGAGGCACATGTTGGGAGGTGTTAAGCCTCAGATCATTTTTGGACCTCTGATGCCCAGGTGTGAAAAGTCCCTTCAACAGGCGAAGAACAGTTGACCTAGGGTGTGATCTGATCAGTGAAGGCAATGCTCTGCCTTAATGTCCTCTCAGTACTAGTCGTGGTCGTGCCCTGTATTACCCTCATGTTGGTGATTCTGGGGGATTTCTGTAAATATTTAGCTGGTTTTACCATCAAGCCTTCTGGCTTCAGAGCACTTGCAACACGGCTGGTTGGACCTGAGTTGTGCAGGAAGTGTGCAGTATCACCAGGCCTTGAGGGCTCACTGCAGGGGCAGGGACGAATACAAGATAGCTCCATCAATTTTTATTTGATTTCCCCAGTTTTTTAATATATGGGGTGTATCAGTTTGTGTTCTGTTGCTATAACAGACTACCTGGATCTGGGTACTTTATAAAAAAAGAGGTTTGTTTAGCTTACATTTTGGAGGCTGAGAGTAGCATGGTGCCTGCTCTGGCAAAGGCTCCCTGACAACCTCACATCACAGTGGATGGCATGAGAGCAGGCGCGGATGTTAGATATCACATGGCTGGACAGGAAGCCAGAGTCTGGGGAGGCCAGGCTCAGTCTTAACCACCCCAGGAGACTGACCAGGGTTTCATGGGGGATTTGTCATTTCTCCCTGAGGGCCACATCCTCGATGACAAACACTTTGAACTGGGCTCCTCCTCTATGGTGCCACCTCCTGGCATCACCACACTAGGGACCAAGGCTCCGTCCAACACATGGATCCTTGGGGGACAGATTCGGACAATATCCAGACCATAGTATGGGGTTAAGTTATCTTAAAGTTCATTTCACCTGGTTGGTTTTGACTTTTCGAATGTGGCTACTGGGGGCCGAGGGTGCAGCTCAGTAGTGGGTGATTGCCTACCTCACGGGAGGCCCTGGTGAGGCCCTGGGTTCTGTTCCCAGCACCACCAAAAAAGAAAAGAAAAAGTGATGCTACTAGAAAATGTGAAGTTACACAGGTCCCTTGCATTGTGTTCCTGTTGAACAGGTTAGCCCTGGGAGGGCTCGCAAACCCGCCGTCGGGCAGATCTGGCCACCCGCTGTGTTCATAAATAAAGTGCTGTTGGCCCCCACCCACTAATTCCCACTGCAGCACTAGACACTGGCCTGTGGCCCTTTAAACACCGTGTGCCGCCCCAGGGGCTCTAAGTGTGATGATTTTAAGCACCATGATGCTGTGGGCGACATTGGAGAACATGCCATTCTTGTTTTCTGTTGATGATTATTAGTTTATCTAATATCTTCATGTAATTATTAATATATTCATGTTGACATGTTAGTATAATTTGTTTTCGTATATTTCTATGTGAACAAACCTGTTTATACACAAGTGTTCATGTTCAGTCTAGTCAGCCCTCTGTGACTGTGGTTTATGCATTTACAGATTCAGTCAACCTTGAATTGAAAATTTCCACCCAAAAAAATTGGCACACACCTGTAATCCCAGCAACTCCGGAGGCTGAGGCAGGAGGATTGCAAGTTTGAGGCCAGCCTCAGCAACTTAGTGACACCCTGTCCTGTCTCAAAATAAAATTTGTTTTAAAAAGGCTGGGGATGTAGCTCGGTGGTAGAGTGCTCCTGGGTTCAATCCCCAGTATGGAAATTAAAAATTGAGTGTTCTGAACCTGTATAGATTCTTTTTCTCATCCTGAACAATGCAATATAATATGTGGCACATAACACATACACTGTAGCAGATACTTGAGCATTCAAGGGTCTTGGTGTCTGAAGAGGGGGTGCAGCTCAGGGGATCGGCACTCGCCCAGCCAGCAGGGCCCTGAACTCCATCCCCAGCACAGCAAGTAGAGTAAAGCGACCTAGTGTGGACTGACAGCCTGTGTGCCTGCCCTGCTGCAGGAGGAGTACCAGGGGGAGGGGATCGCCTGGCACAACATCGACTACACGGACAACGTGGGCTGCATCCAGCTCATCAGCAAGAAGCCCACCGGCCTCTTCCACCTGTTGGACGAGGAGAGCAAGTGAGTGTCCATGGCCCTGTCCACCCCCGCCCAGCACGGCTGCACACAGGTGCCCAGTTAGACCCCTGAGTCCAGACCATCCTGCAGACTTCTCAGCTGCCCACACTCTGGCCACAGACCCTGAGCTCATGTGCACAGGATGCTCGTACTGCGTGCTTGCCGGGAAAGGAAGCACTCGGGTTCATCGGTGCGCTCTGGAGTGTCTGCGGGAGTCTCCAGTGAAGGACTGTGGACCTGGTTCCAGTCGCAGGGATCAGGGTTGGCACATGCTGGTAAAGGGCAGCACAATATGTGAACACGGGGCCCAGGCACTGCCTGCTGTGGACTCCCCATTGAGCCCAGACCCCCCCCACACCATCCTCAGGGCACCCTGAAGGCGGGAAAGGGTATCTAAAAAGCGCCTCATTCTCAGTAATCCAACTGCCGTCACTGAAATCAGGAGACACTGCCTTAGTCCCTCTGGCTGCCCCAGTGAACCAACCAGGGAGGTTAAAACAGCAGTTTTGCCAGGCACAGGGGCCCCCGCCTGTCAGCCCAGTGGCTTAGGAGGTTGAGGCAGGAGGATCATGAGTTCAAAGCCAACCTCAGCAATGGCCCGAAGCAACTCGGCAAGACCCTGTCTCTAAATCAAAAATTTTTAAAGAGGGCTGGAAATGTAGGTCAGTTGTTGAACACCCCTGGGTTCAACCCCTCAATACCCTGCCCCCCAAAATACTAGCAGTCTCATCTCTCAGGGTCCTGGAATCCACAAACCCAAAATCAAGGTGTCACAGGGTCACACACCCTCCGCAGCCTCTAGGGGAGGAGGCCTCCTGCCTCTTCAGCTTCAGGGCTCTGGCATCCCGCAGCTGTGGCCACATCACTTCAGTTGCTGCCTGTGTCTTCATGGCCTGCGCCCCATGTCCCTGTCCTTCCTGTCTCCTCTTCCTAAGAGGCCATCGGTCACACTGGACTAAGCCCACCCTGGCAACCTTAAATGTGTACAACTCTCGAGATGCTGTTTTCAACTAGGCACCTGGCGCGGGCCTGTGACCCCACCTATTTGGGAATCTGAGGCAAGAGGATCACAAGTTCAGGGCTAGCCTGGGCAACTGAGTGAGACATTGTCCCAAGATAAAACAAAAAGGGCTGGGATGTGGCTCAGTGGTGGACCACTTGCGTAGCATGATTGGGGTCCCGAGTTCCATCCCAGCTCTACACACACACACACACACACACACCTGTCTCCAAATAAGATCATATCCACAGATGCTGGGGGTGAAGACATGCACACATCTTTATTGTAGCTCCTCCTTTGCCAGTGACGTCCCCACAGGGCTGAAAGGAGGCACACTGCATGCCTCAACCAAGTCCCCGCCCAGGCAGGCAGACGCATCCCCTTGCCACTGTGGTCCAGAATCAGAGGGTGGGAGCAAGGTCCTAGGAGGGACTGTGTCATCACAGCCTGGGAACTCGGGACAAGGGCCAGGCCTGTGAGCAAGCCCGGTCCCTCTTCTGACTTGCAGTTTCTGTTCATCGGGGATTTTTTTTTTTTTTTAATATGCATCAGTTGGGATTTTCTGAAACGGTACTCTTCAGTCCTGATGACGGAGGGTTTGGTGCCTTCATACCCTTTCCACAGCCCGGGAAGCCATGGGTCTGATAGTGGAGAACCTCCCCTGTCACCCGGTTAAGCCTTGAGCCCGTGTTGGCAGCTTGCCGTGGCGCTGTCTACACCTGTGGTGGGGCTGGGCCCAGGCGTGGCACTGCCCTCCTGGAAGCGGGACTAGCCAGGTGCAAGGAGTCCCTGTTCTGCCCCTGCAGCCTCTCCAGCTGGGAGCAGGGCGGACCCCTTCCAGGGCACACGTCCAGGTGCAGAGGGCCCTGTGGCAGGGGCCACTGTCTCCTGGGATCACTGTGAAGAGCTGCCCACAGTGGACCCAGGTCCAGGCCTCCCCTGGGACGAGTGTCTACAGACACCATCAAACCCGGTTAGTGGTCCCTCCAGCCCCCTAGAGAACAGCCACAGGGGACAGAAGGGGCCACCTGCACCTGAGCTTCGGGTCTCATTGGCACCTGGGTGTGGCTGCTGGTGCAGTGGCAGGATCACAATCTGGGCGCCTGCTCAGCACGCAGCACGAAGCTGAGGCCACCTCCCTGCTCCGTCCTCGTTCCCCGGCCCTCTGCCCACAGAGCGCTCTGTAGCTGGCCCCAAGCACCCGCCCAGAGGCTGCAACGAGAAACGCAGAGCAGGTCACTAGCCACTGTCGGTTAAAGATCTCACTCTCTCCCCAGCTTCCCCCACGCCACGAGCCAGACCCTGCTGGCCAAGTTCAAACAGCAGCACGAAGACAACAAGTACTTCCTGGGCACCCCAGTCATGGAACCCGCATTCATCATCCAGCATTTTGCGGGAAAAGTGAAATACCAAATCAAGGTACGTGTCTACCCGGCAGCCACTGGCAGGGCGCCAGAAAGCCACGTGTGGTTGGAACACGGCGCATGGAGGGCCCTGCCCTGGGGCACTTGCCAGTTCATCTGGAACATGCCCTGAATCCCTGCTGAAGTACCCGAGCCCCTCGCTTCAGGAATGGCAGTCTGCTGCTGGGATGGCACCTGTCCCCCAGGCCACCCCTGCCCACCCCAGCCTCTGAGTGTCAGTGGGTGACACTGGTGGGTGACCACCCACATCATCCCCTACCAGGACTTCCGGGAGAAAAACATGGACTACATGCGTCCCGACATCGTGGCCCTTCTGCGGGGCAGTGATAGCTCCTACGTGCGGGAGCTCATCGGCATGGAGCCCGTGGCTGTATTCCGCTGGGCCGTGCTCCGGGCCGCCATCCGGGCCATGGCCGTGATGCGGGAGGCCGGGCGTCTGCGGGCCGAGAGAGCTGAGAAGGCTGCAGGTAGGAGCCTAGGGACCACCTACTCCGCCGAGCGTCATTGTTGCAAGGGGGACATTCACAGTTCGATTTAAATTGAACATGTCAGCAGCATTTAGGAAATGTTCACAACCACTACCCTCGCTCACTCGAGATCGCCGCCATCGTCCCCAACAGAAACTGCAGCCGGCACTCGGTCCCCTAGGGGCTCCCAGAATCCAGACTCCACGGGCCCGTCCCTTCTGTACACTGGCCTAGTGTTGGCACAGGCCCTGCACATGTCCTTTCAGAGAGTTTTTTTTGTACCAGGCACTGAACCCAAGGGTGCTTCACCGCTGAGCCATATACCCAGCCTTTTTTGTATTTTATTTAGAGCCAGCATCTCACTGAGTTGCTCAGGGCCTCACTGAGTTGCTGGGGCTGGCTTTGAGCTCATGATTCTCCTGCCTCAGCCTCCCGAGCCACTGGGATGACAGGCGTGTGCCACTGCGCCTGGCTTCTCAGACTTTCCCATCATCTCCAGGTGACTTAGAGTACTTACTGTGGCATTGGCCCTGTGTGCACATTGCTCATTATTCTTATGCTGTATTGTTATTGACTAGAAAAATGCATTTTTTTTTCCCAAATATTTCTGACCCACGGTTGGTTAATCTGAGCATATAGAACCTGTGGACATGGAGGGGCCCAGGTGTGTGACCTGACCTCACATGAGCCTCAAGACAGACAGCCACGTCCCCACTTTTCCTGGAGGAGCGTGAGGCCCCGCATCTGAGTGGCTCGGCTCAGTCTCACACCTCCACACTCCACTCGTGGACTTCGACTTCAGGGCCAGCCAGGGGCTTCCGTTTTCTGGGTGTAGACTAAGGAGGGTGGTGGAGCCCTCCCAAGGGCAGGGAAGGAGCGCCCATTCTTGGGGTGAAGAGTCAGCTTCTGCTTTACCCAGAGTCCAATGACAATCTGCTGCTCCCCCTGGCACTGGCGATGAAACCCAGGGCCTGAGCTCAGCCACGTCCCCAGCCCACAAGCTGCTTTTTAAGATGTGTCAACCAGGGCTGGGGTGGAGCTGAGTGGACGGCAAGTGCTTAGCATGCATCAGCCCTGGGCTCCACCCTCAGCACCAAAAACCAACAAAAACGGCTAAAGAGGAGCCGGGCTGGGGCTCAACGGTAGAGCGCTTGCCTAGCATGCGTGAGGCACTGGGTTCGATCCTCAGCACCACATAAAAGTAAATGAACAAAATATCAATGTCCAAAAAATATTTTAAAAATATTACAAAAATATATTTAAAAAATCAAAGAGGAGTCTCTGCAGAAAAGATAAGGCCACTGGGCCCTGGGAGGCCCTTCCAAGTAACACCCACTTTGTCCCCAGCAGGTATGGGCAGCCCTGGTGCCCAGAGTCACCTGGGAGAACTGCCAAGAGGAGCCAACACCCCATCAGAAAAACTATACCGGTGAGCAGGATTTTGATTTGTGCAAACTGAAACTATTAGTAGCCTTGTTCAAGTATGGTGGCACATGCCTATAATCCCAGCATCTCAGGAGGCCAAGGCAGGAGGATCGTAAGTTCTAGGTCAGCCTGGGAAACTGGCAAGACCCTGTCTCAATATAAAATTAAAAAGGCTGGGAGCCAGGTGTCATGGTGCAGGCCTGTGGTTCCAATGGCTCTGGAGGCTGAGGTAGGAGGCTTGCTTGAATTTGAGGATGACCTAGGCAACAGAGTGAGGCTCCCATCTCAAAAGAAGAGAAGAAAAGGAACTCTTTAAGCCACATGAGAAAGGCACGCAGAGTGTGCTGGTGGCTTCTGTGAGGAACACAAGTGCAAAGACCCTGGGGCAGTCCAATCCCTGACTTCCTTTCCAAAACTCACAAATTCCCAAGGAAGAAGTCCCTAAATTTTTGAAATGAAAAAGCTATTTCTTAAAAAAAAAAAAAAAAAAGTCATTTTGTTTTCAAGTCCTTTGAAGCAAAACTTCTTCAGAGAAGAAGTCCTAAAATTCTGAATGTAGGTAGAGCTGTGTGTGGTTTGTCTGGAGGAGACATTGTGTCTGACCCCACCCCCACTCTCAGTAACTGCTTCTAAATTCACTTTTTCACCCAAATGGGGGCAAATGAAAGAACACATTCCTCCATTTGATCACGTGACATTCGGGGATTTTTTTTTCATTTTTATTCTTTTCCCCCGGAAGTGGCCTGTGACCTGCATGTGCAGCGTGGGCCTGCCCAGGGCCTGGCCCGGGCCGCGAGCCCTGCCCAGCGTGCGTTAAGTTCACACAGCTTCTCCCTTGCAGCGGCTCAGTGCTAGATTTCTCATTTGACTGCTCTGAGGAGTTCGATATTAACGCTTTTGAGGACATCATTGCTTTCTATGAAAGCAAGAAGTAAGTAGAAGCAGGGCCTTCGAACCCGAGACCAGGGAGGCACACTGAGAGGAGCGTCTCCTGAGGCCACCAGGGCACACAGGCCTGCGGGCAGCGCCCCTGCCATGTCTGGCCAGATTGGGGGGAAGGGGTGGGCTGAGCCATGACCCCTTGTAAGCTACGTGGAGGTCACTTAGGAGTGGCCAGGAGATGTAACCTCTGCTGTCTTTGCTCTGTGCCTCCCTGGAGGGTGACGGAGCGGAGGTAAGTGTGGCTGGGGCACTTGGCACGGTGCATGGAGCACAGAGGAGGGCTGCAATCGGGTCCTCCCCGCACCGCCCGGAGCTGAGACAGGCATTGTTGGGTCACTGGAGGGCAACAGGTACAGCTCAGGGCAGGGCACTCGCCCAGCACACGCCAGGCCCCGGGCCCCATCGCAGCACTGCAAAAAATTAAAAAAAAAAAAATACGGAATGAGAAATCTTTAAAAAAGAGAAAAAGAATCATTTCCGAAAGTTTCATTGAAGACATCTGTAACTGAGATGTGGATCGTTACTGATCATTGGCTCCTCTGAGCCATTGACCTTGTGCACTCGTGGCTGTGGGGCACAGGCCAGAGTGGGGCACACGGAACTCTCTGGGGTCACCCTGCCCTCCAACCAGGGTCTCTCAGGTCATGCTCTGCAGTGGGGCGTCCTGCACCCTGTAGGTGTGGAGTAGCAGCCCGCCCTCTGCCCACCAGAGGCTGGTGGCCCCTGCATCCCAGCCATGGCCACGCAAATATCCCCAGGAACCAGCATCTCCTGGGAGGTGAGGCAGCATCACCCACGGTACCCAGATCCAAATCCCTTGCTCCCAGGGCCTCCACGAAGCCCACTGGGAAGACGGTACCTAACCACAGACTCGGAGAGATGCTAGCCGGCTCTTTCACAGAGCCTCCCGGTCTGACCCGGGCAGCCCCTCGCTGGGTCCTCAGGTTCCAGAAGGCTCTCACTAGGAGACCTTTGCAGTGACTGGAGATGCTGTGTTGCTGGACGTTTGCTCCAGGACTCAGGGACAGCAGCTACTCCTGACCAAGGCCCCCTTGGTGAAGGGAGCAGAGTAGTGTCCAGCTCCAGCAGTGCCCAGCTGCATGTTTCTGCTCTGGTGGCCTAGGGACATCCCGATTGGCACTGGGACCCTGAGGTGGTGGGTCTGCGGCTCTAACTCTATCTTCTCTCTGTCACTGGGTCCCCCTCCTCCCCTCAGCGATTTGCATAACCAAATCATCAAGAGCATCAAAGGACTGCCCTGGCAGGGCGAGGACCCCCGTAGGCTTCTCCAGTCCCTCAGTCGGCTCCAGAAACCCCGCGCCTTCATCCTGTGAGTCCCCCAGGCCCCCTACGAGTGCAACAGCCGCCTCTGCTCCCAGGGCCCTGGCCGGCCTGCGGCTTCCTAAATTGAATTGGCCACTAAAAACGCTGCTCTGTCTTAGGGCTTTGCTCTCATGCCAGCCATAGCTGAATGGCTTTCCTAATACCTCGTCCCTGTGTTGAGCTGGGCCAAGGGCCTGCCGCGGGCTTCCTTGCGCACAGCACTGCCTAGGAGCATGTCCTGCCCTTGAACGTGCCCTCTCTGCCCCGCCCGCTGGTAGAGAAGAGCTTGCCCCCACCGAGTAGAGCTCCACCGAGACCCTCTGCTCAGTTGCCACAGGCCCGACACTCAGCCTTCAGCCTCCCTCTCAGACCAGGGTGGTGGCTCAGACCTGTGTTGTGCTGAGCCAGTACCAGGTAGCTGGCAGCCTCTGCCTCCAGGGCATCCACAGTGACCGGCACCAAACTCCCACTGCCAGTCATGACACAGCCTGCTGAAAGTGGTACTTGTGACCACAAGGAAGCCAGGGGGTTTTGGTTGCTTTGGGCGGGGGATATTCTTTTTTTCTTTTTTTTTTTTTTTTTTTTTTTTCTCTTTGAGACTGGGTCCCACCATGTTGCTCCTGGGCTCCAGTGCCCCATGGTCCTCCTGCCTCAGCCTCCCGAGTAGGTGCAGGTGTGCACCCCCCAGCCCCCACCCCCGTCCTGGTGAGAGTGAGCATTTCAGTGCATTTTTGTGGTGCCTTATTTTGCCCACAAGGATTCAGACGAGACCTGGCACCTCGTGGGCCTAGCACCTCCCAAGCAAGTTCAAGCCCAGCCTCAGCACCTGGCAAGACCCTGTCTCAACCTGGAAAGGGCTGGGGTAGAGCATAGAGTTGTGCTGCCATTGACTTTTCTCCTGGTCTTCGAGATCCCGTGAGTGAGGTTGGGTGGAGCTTAGTGGTGGAGTACTTGCCTGGCCTGTGTGAGGCCCTGGGCCCCCAGCATCACTTGAAGAGGGAGTACAGGAGGCGAGAAAAAGGACTTTGCCCCATCCCTTGGTCAAAAGTTCCGGCCTTTGTGTTTCCTTGACACCATCAGGAGTCCAAGGCGCTCCCAGGGCTGGAGCAGTAGAGCATTTGCCCAGGCGAGGCCCTGGGTTGTACCCCTAGTTTCATTAAAAAATAAAATAAAAGGAACACACCTGTGATGCCCAGAGCTTGGCAGGCTGAGGCAGGAGGATCGCAAGTTCAAGGCCAGCCTCAGCAACTTGGCAGTGCCCTAAGCAACTAACCAGATCCTGTCTCCAAATAAGAATACAAAGGGCTGGGGATGTGGCTCAGTGGCTTAGCACCCCTGGATTCAATCCCCAGCACCAAAATAATAAGTGCATAAAATAAAAGGAGCCCCTGCCCAGGCCATTTTAATAGCCCTGTGCAGGGGGGTTCCTGTGGTGTGGATCTGCTTGGCCCAGCAGATAGGGCCAGGGCACCCTGGTAGCCCCAGGACTACGCAGGGCCTCCAGTGCTCCAGGCAGGTCGTCCCCTTCTTATTTCTGACACGTCCACTCCTGCCAAGCCCGGCCTCAGTGCGAGCCGTCCCTGTGGATTACTGGCCACCTGCGCCTACTCCCTGGGCATCCAGGTGGCCCCCAGACCAGATGCTCATCTCATTGCTATCTCATGTCACCTTGGGTGGCCACAGCAGAGTCCTGCTGTCACTGTGGTGACCCTACACCCATGGGCGTGGCTGAAGCGCGCGTGCAGGCCGGAGCCCGCTGGGTGTCTGCAGAGGTGGCGGTCGCTGGCTGCACTTGTGCCTGTCGCTATCTCCAGCTGCGTCCCCTCCGTCTCTCTCTAACCCACAGGCGTGGCTTGCTGAACTAACCCAGATCCACACACTGTGTTCCTTTTGTTCACAAAACCATTTTTAATATTTTGACAGGAAGAGTAAAGGTATCAAACAAAAGCAGATCATTCCAAAGGTAAAGCCCGCGCCACGCTCAGAGAAGCCTTGCTTGCGTTCTCCCAGCTCCAGGCACCTGGCTCCAGCGGCCTCCAGAAAACGGGGCAGGGCGTGCCCAGAGCCTGGGCTCCATCCCCAGCACCGCAAAAATAATAGCTTCCTCATGGTGAAACCATCTGGGGTCTCTGGGGGGGGTCCTAGAAGTAAACCTGAGGTGGGGGTATCTGCTCAAGCGGGTGCCGAGGGGCTCTCAGGGGGAGGCTGAGAGCGCGAGGGTTGGAGCCAGGCTCGGCCCGGCTGACCTGTCCTTGATCTAGTGCTGCAGGGAGCCCTGGAGGGTCCACTGTCCCATCCACAGGCAGTGGGACCCTTGTCTTTACCTGCCCCCCGGGTCAGTCACTGGCTGTGGGCCACCTCTGGAGGACACGATGGGACAGAGACCTCCCAGGTGCTGGTTCTGTTTCCGTGTGTAGTCGTCCCTCAGTGTCCAAGGGTTCAATTGCAGGACCCCCCCCAGATTCCAACCCTTGGAGCTCACGTCCCTTCTGTAAATGGCAGAGTGTTTGCATAGAACCTTCACACACCTTGTGTGGGCTCTGAGTCATCTCTAGATGACGTAGTACCCAGTGCAATGTCAGTGTCACATAAATAGTCTTACACTGTGTTGTCTAGGCAACCGTGACAAGAAATAAAAAGTCTGCACGTGTTTAGTAGGGATGCAGATACAGGTTGACCACCCCTATGGGAAATTCTTGGGACCAGAAGCGTTTCAGTTTGGGTTTGTTTGTTTTTTTTGTTGTTGTTGTTGTTGGTTTTTTTTTTTTTTTTTTTGGTTTTTTTTAGGATTTTGGAATACTTGCATATATGTAACCAGGTGTCTGGGGATGGGATCCAAGTCTGAATACAAAATTAATTCATTTGTTTCACATACACATTATGCATGTAGCCTGAAAGTACTTTCATACAATATTTTTAATAACTTTGTGCACAAAACAAAATCTCGTAGTGTGGAATTTTCAATTTGTGGCACCAGGTGGTCTCTCAAAAGTTTCAGACTTTGGCCAGGTGCAGTGGCCCACACCTGTCATCCCAGTGACTGGAGGCTGAGGCAGGAGGATTGCAAGTTCAAAGCCAGCCTCAGTAAGTTAGCAAGGCCCTAAGCAACTTAGCAAGACCCTGTCTTGAGATTTAAAAAATTAAAAAAGGCTAGGATGTGGCTCAGTGGCTAAGCACCCCTGGGTTCAATCCCTTGCACCAAAAAATAAAATTTCAGGTTTGCAGCATTTCAGGTTGGTGAATTAGGGGTGCTCGACCTGTATTTTTGATCTGAGGTTGTTTGAGTCTGCGATGTGGAGCCCTGGGATCTGGACAGGCACCTGTACTGTGTGCACATGGCTTATGAAGCTTAGAAAAGACTTAAGAACCACCTCTCAGCTTAGTCTGCAGAGAGGGCGGGGCCAGTTCGCCCATGTAGAAGAGCACACCAGGGAGCTGGAGGCGGGCAGCAGGGACGGCACATTCCTTGGCTCAGGTCATGTTCGTGGTAATGAGCCGCAGAGGGAAGCTGGGCTGGCAGCACTGGCTTCCTCTCCTAGCCCAGAGGAGGGGAGAGGGTGCGGCAGGCACTGGGGCCTCAGAAGAGGCAACATGTCAGCCAGGTGCAGTAGCCCACACCTGTAATGCTAGCAACTCAGGAGGCTGAGGCAGGAGGATCTCAAGTTCCAGGCCAGCCTCAGCAACTTAGTGAGACCCTGCCTCAAACATAGAAAGGGCTGACGTATAGTTCAGTGGTAGGGCAGTAGCCTAGCATATGTGAGGCCCTGGGTTCCATCCCCAGCACGCAACATGCACATGCACACGCATATGCACATGCACATGCATACACACATACTTGCTCTCTGCACCAGATCAGCACATCTGCAGGGGGTGCAACTCACACTTGGTCTACTGTCCCCACCATCCCCACCCGGAGCACCTGCTTCACACACACCCTGCCCTAGCCCTGGGGATATTCATGCTGCCCCCTGTGCTCTCCGGGCTGTGGGAGGGCAGGCCAGACCCCAAGTGTCTGTTGTAGAACCTGCTGGACTCCAAGTCCCTGAAGCTCATCATCAGCATGACCCTGCATGACCGCACCACCAAGTCCCTGCTGCACCTGCACAAGAAGAAGAAGCCACCCAGCATCAGCGCTCAGTTCCAGGTGGGTGGTCTTAAGGCACTGGCCAGCTGAGATCCAGCAGGCACCTGCCAGCTCTTCCCAGGGTCCCTGACCTTGGCAATGGGGGCAGCAGGGCTTCCTCTGTTGGGGACCCCTGTGCACTGTAGGTATTTAGCAGGTATCTGGAGTTGGCTCATTAGTGCCAGGAGCACTGTCCCCATTTGTGACAACGACTACCGATGCCTCTTGGGGGGGCAGAATACCCCTACTTGAGAACTACTAAGTTTAAAGAAACATAAGTTACTACCAAACCATTTCCTTGGTTTCCCTTTTTCTCCCTGGCTGCCAGGAAGCTCAGAAACACATAGGGAGCTCGTAAGCTACTAATCCTTACTGTTAGGTTTCTTATTCCATTTGTCAGAAACCTGAGTCATCTGTCCCCACCGAAGCTCTTTGGTAATAACCTCAGGTGGAAGCACCCATAAATCCTTTCTGGCCCCACAAGCCCTCCCGAATCTGAGGCGTGTTTTAAACCCTCGGAGTTTATCTGCTCCCCTGCCCCAGCCCCTACCTGTCTGGCCCTGGAAAGAGGCAGCTGCCAGCGTGGGGACCCCACAGCTGCTCTGCCGCACAGACCCGCCCCTCCCCCCGGGCTGCCCCACTCAGCACAAACGTCCTTCTTTCCCAGACGTCCCTGAACAAGCTCCTGGAGGCCCTGGGGAAGGCGGAGCCCTTCTTCATCCGCTGCATCCGCTCCAATGCTGAGAAGGTGAGGGGCCCTGGGATGAAGCCCCAGGAACAGTCCTGCGTCTGCAGCCTCCACGGGAGAGGGGCGGGCCACCGCCCAGGAGGACTCAGGGAGCTGAGCATCACCACGGTGCCAGGGGGTCAGAGGACAGCAAGGGTGACCAGCCTGCGCAGGGCCACTGCAGCAGAGCCCCAGAGAAGACCCCGTGGGTGGGACAGGCCCAGAGCAGCCATTGCAGAGAGCGAACCAGGAAGCAGACCTCACGGATGAGCAGACCGAGGCTCCAAGGAGCAGAGCCCTGTGCTCATTGCAGAGGTTTCTAGAAAGAGCAAGCCTCAGTAGAGGCCCTGGCTGAGGCTCAGCCCTCAGTGCCAGGCTTCCTTCACCCTAGAGGTCCACTCTGTCCCCAAGAGGAAGACTTGGGCTTTGCCAAGGGCCCCTCAGGGACATGTGTTCCTTCATTGGCAAAAGTGGACACCCAGGCGGGGTCCGTAGGCAACTCCATCCTCTTCCTCCTCACTCCTTTGTCCCTGCTGGTCACAGTCCTGTCTCTCCTGTTCCTGGGACACGTGTGCCAGCATCCGGAGCCCAGCTCCTCGCCCACAGTCACACTCAGGCTCCTCTCATGTCGGAATTCCTGCCCAAGCGCAGGCTGTGGGGGCCGCGCACGCCACGGGTACCAGGTCGGCGGACCCAGCTCTGTGTCGGGGCGTCCTGGGCCCTGTGGGGTGTCAAGTGGTACCCTTAGCCTTTATCCATCCACCCTGTGACAACCCTTCCTTTGGTCCTTAGAAGACACAGTATGCCATTCCTTACTGTCGCCCACCCTGGCTGGAAGCCCACTGAGGCAGTGCCGGCCCCTCCCACTACCCTTGGCTCCTTTCCCCTCTGGGCCTTCACCCCATATCCCTGTCCCATCCTCCTCAGGACTCAGCCTGCTGCCTTCTCTCCCGGGACACCTCCCACAGGTGCCTGGGCAGCATCCAACCCATAATACACATGTCTGGCCCCCGAACCGTACTGCCCAACCCCCACATCTGCCCAGCGTGTGGCATAGAGGATGAGTCCAGCACGGTTTTGAGTGGGTCGTGGTTGTAAAAGAATTTTTTGCAGCAAATTAGCACACGCAGAAAGATGTGGCTCCCGTGTCCAGGGTGCCAGGAATTGGAACAGAGCAGATAGGGATTTTCCTAGAGGAGCCAACATTGTGAGCACGGCTGAGCAGTTGGTTTCTTTGTCCCAGAAAGACTATCTGGAACCTCCAAGGCCTTCCAGCTCCTGTGCTAGGGACACTCCCAGGCCAGCCGGGCCCCAGGAGGGAGCACAGCCTGAGTCCATAGCTAGAATCACAGAGGCGGTGGTCAGGTGGGGATTGACCCTCAACTCACAGCCTGCGCCCCCACCTTGCTTGGGCACAGGCCCTGATGGCTCGTGTGTGTGCGTTACAGAAAGAGCTGTGTTTCGATGACGAGCTGGTCCTGCAGCAGCTGCGCTACACCGGCATGCTGGAGACGGTGCGCATCCGGCGATCTGGCTACAGTGCAAAGTACACGTTCCAGGTAGGCCCGCAGGGACATGGCTGCTGTGACCCAACAGAGGGCCGGGCCAGCCGCCACCTCTTCAGAGAGAGCAAGTCTCCAGAGCTAAGTCCAGCTGCTGACTTTATGCCCAGGCTTCTCCGCCAGGGCAGCATTGGCACTTGGAGTGGCCAATTCTCTATTGTGGAGGCACAAGTTTCCTTGGCAGAGGTGGCTAGTCTCAGGCCAGACCTGGAGAAGCACAGTGTTAAACCAAGCCCGGAAGCACACAGGCAGGGCCCTATGTTGAGCATCTTCTGGAATTCATGTTCATATTGGCTTTTTGCTTTTGGGGTTTTCATTTTGCAGCGCTAGGGGTGGAAACCAAGCCCTCGCACGAGCTCGGCAAGCGCTCTACCATGGAGCCACGCCCCAGCCCAGGCAGCACTTTTATACCCAGCTGTTTTTTTCTGCCTACCGCCAACAAAAGGCTCTTTGTTGCTACTTTTGCAAGGTAGAAGCCGGAGCCTGGGCCAGGGTTAGAACTGGTGGTCAAGCATTTGCCTGTCATGTGCAAGGTCCGGGCTCCGTCTCGAGCACTGCAGGAAAGAAGCAAAGCAAAGCCTGAGCCTAAGTAGACGGTGACTTCAGAGATGGCTCCCTGGGTTTTCTCCAAAGACCAGCTCCCCAGGAGCATCACGGTTGACATCTAGAGCCAGGTCATTCTTTGCAGTGTGGCCATTCTGTGAACTGTAAAGTCGCGAGCACTGTGGCCTCTTTGAAGTTGCTGAGACTAGGCTTGAACTTGGGACTCTCCTGCCACAGCTTCCCTAGTCGCTGAGGTCACAGGCGTGCCTCACCACAGCCAGCACTTGCCTCCTTTTTTATCCACAAAATAGAAATAACATCTTTCTAACCATGTGCAGATAGGAGAGGCCCAATGATAGGAACGGGGACCTGCTGGCGTGTTACACAAACGCATGTCCCTGAAATATCTGAAACACACGTGGCCCTCTGTATCCATGGGTTCAGCGTCCGTGGACCTGATCAATCTCAGACCAAAAAAATCGGGGGCAGGGGGTTACTGTACTCAACTCGTACAGACTTTCTTTTCTTCTGACTCCCTGTGTGTACAACTATGTCCACAGCACGTATGTCATGGTCAGTATTCTAAGTTATCTAGAAATGGTTAAAGTCCACAGGAGGATCACGTAGGCTTTATGCAAATATTACACCATTTTACAGAAGGAACTTGAGCACCCATGGGTTTTGGTGACTAAGCAGGGTCCTGGAGCCAGTCCCCTCCAGGCAGGCGACCATGTGCTTACTGAAACACGTATCTGCTCGGGCTGGAGTCCCGTGGCCAAGAGCTTATCTAGCCTGCACAAGGCCCTGGATTCTGTCCCTCACACTGCAAGGAACACAGGCGTTATCTCCAGCTTCTGTCCAGCCCTTTAATGAGCCATATGATGAGAGCCCCGCAAAGGTGACACCATCTCCCCAGAGATGGAGCATTGGCTCTGTGTGTCTGCGATGGTCTTTAGCTTGAAGCTGTCACAGACTGTCCACAGCTTTGTGTCTCCGTGTGTTGGCTAAGCTGGGCTGGGGTGTGGTGCCGTGGTAGAGCACCCGGACTCGACCCCCAGAACTGCAAAGAGAAGAGACACTCACACTTCTTGGCCCCACCCCCGTAGGACTTCACAGAGCAGTTCCAGGTGCTGCTCCCCAAAAACGCCCAGCCCTGCAGGGAGGTCATCGCTGCCCTCCTGGAGAAGATGAACGTGGACAAGAGGAGCTACCAGATCGGGAAGACCAAGGTCAGCACTCTGCTGTGGACCCACGCCCCCACCCCGCTCTGCACCCCCCACACCTCTCCTGCTCTGAGGCCCACAGGTCCTGGTGGAGCTGCGCACTCCTCAGGACCAGTGCCCCGCTTCTTCCCACAGCGGGTAACGTAAGCAATGGTGGGAGCTGCCTGACCCCGGCTCCACCTCCTTCAGCAGGACTCGGCTCCACTCTTTTCCGCTTTCTCACAAGTAGGCTGGGAAGGACTGTGCTGACCGGCAGGGTATTTAGGCCAGCTCGTAAACTTTACAGTGGGTGTTAGTCCCTTATTTGTTGCTATAACAAAATGTCTGAGGCTGTGTGTCTTAAAAAGGAAAGAGGTTTATTTACCTCACTGTTCTGGAAGTCCAACAGCATGGTGCCAGCTTCTGTTCAGCTCTAGGGAGGACCTCATGGCACATGGCATTAGAATGACAACATATGTACAAAAGAGATCACATGGGGAGATGGGAAGCCAGAGGTAGATTCAGGGCCATTCGTGCTTCTTTAAAACAACTCAAGGGACCTAGTGGTGTCCCACAGAACTACTTAAATCCCTTCCAAGGCCAGCGCCCTCAGTGACCTTAGTAATTGCACTTCCTCCCCGCTACCTGCTGCTTTTGGGGTCCTGGGGATGGAACCCAGGACTTGCACATGCTAGGAAAGTGCTCTACCACTGAGCCACATCCCCAGCCCTTTTTACTTTGAGTCAGGGTCTCACCAAGTTGCCCAGGCTGGCCTTGAACTTGCTGTCCTCCTGCCTCGGCCTCCTGAGGAGCTAGGATTCTTGGCATGCAGCCACCATGCATTAGCATAGGCCCCACCCCTTAAAGGTCCCCCCACCTCAGTCCACCACACTGGGGACCAGGCTTCCAGCACATGAGCCATGTCGGAGCATAGCACAGTAGTCTGGTGGTTTCCTTCCCTTCCTTTCCACACATTGTCCCTGATCCCCAGTGGGCGAGGACGGGGTTGCCTCTTGTTTATAGGGCACTGCTTGACTGCCCGTGTTCACTGTAAGTGGTGACATCAGCTCCCCGTGAAGGCCTCCCCTGCTCTGGGACATCCCCTAACGGTTCTCAGCAAGTTAATTGAGGTAGCCTTTGAACAAGCAGCTCCACTCCTGGCCATACCCAAGAGAACTGAAAGCAGGCATTCACCAAATGCTCACAGGTGCATGCTCACAGCAGAGCTGCTCATGGCAGCAGGGGTGGAAATGGCCCAAATACTCCTCAGTGAGAATCATCACAGGGTGGTACGTCCATACAGTGGAATAGTATTTAATCGTGAAAAGGAATGGAACGCTGGTCTATTCTGCAGCGTGCGTGGACCTTTAAAACATGCTGAGTGACAGAAGCCACACAGAAAAGGCCCCCTAGGGTATGATCCCACTGATTCCACTTACACGACATGTCCAGAACACGCATGGAGAAGGAAAGACTGGTGCTTGCCAGGGGCTGGAAGGGGGCACTGGGAGGGATTGCCAATGGGGACAGGCTCTCCTTTGGGGAAGATGATGAGATGTTCTGGGACCAGCTGAGAGACGTTGCTGGCCATAAGAGACAATGGCCACACAAAATTGTGCATATGCTAAATGCCACCACACTGTCCACTTTAAAATGGTGAATTCTACGCGATGTTGATTCTACTTCAATCCCAGTCGGTCAGCACCCCAGCCTGGTTCTCACCGGTGGCTGTGCGGACCTGGGCACCAGGAGCAGAGGCGCAGCGCAGTTGACCCTGCTGACCCCTCCCCCGCCAGGTCTTCCTGAAGGAGACAGAGCGGCAGGCCCTGCAGGAGACGCTGCACCAGGAGGTGGTCCGCAAGATCCTGCTGCTCCAGAGCTGGTTCCGGATGGTGCTGGAGCGCAGGCGCTTCCTGCAGATGAAGCGGGCGGCCGTCACCATCCAGGCCTGCTGGCGCTCCTACTGTGTGTGGCGGGCAGTGGAGAGGACGCAGGCGGCCGTGTACCTCCAGGCCGTGTGGAGGGGCTACCGACAGCGCAAGGCCTATCGCCGCCGGAGACAGAGCATCATCCGCCTGCAGAGCCTCTGCCGGGGGCACCTGCAGCGCAGGAGGTGAGTTGGGAAATCCCGGAGGCCAGGAGCCCCTCGCTGAAGATCTGCCCAGGCACTGCCCGGCCATCAGAGCTTCGGGCATCGAGATGAGCACAGGGAGTGGCCGGCAGGACGCCAGCCATCTGGGCACAGGGGCTCCCAAGATGTCCAGGGTTGGCAGCTCTCAGGGGTGAAGCTCCAGGGGCCCTTGACCACCGCCGGCCTCTTCCAGAGGAGGGGCTTCCCAGGCCAGCCCAATGCCAGCTCCCCTCCCCCACACACTCAGCTGGGGTGTCACAGGGCACAGAGAACCCCAGCTGTGGCTCTGAGACCAGCCCTCCCAAAGCTGGTGTCCTGTGGGCCCTCCCCTTCCCACAGGCCCAGCCGCGGCCTGCCTGAGTCGGGGTCCTGGTTCCTGGAGCAGAGGTGTCTCTCAGGCAGTGCCCACACATGCCAAGGCCTCCTGGAGAAGGAGCCAGGCCCCAGTGGACCCAGAGGAACCGGCGTGTGTGTGTCTGGCCTGGGGGTGACCCGGGGTGTCCCCTGCTGCACCCCAGCCCTGTCAGTGTTTAAGATGGGCTCTGAGCTGCTGAGACTGGCCTGGAGCTGGTGGCCTTCCTTCCTCCGCCTCCCCGGCTCGTAGGGAGGCTCCCTCCCTGACCGGCCTGAGGAAGCGCAGACAGGGTGTCTGTGGCACCTGCAATGAGGGGCACTGCCGTCTCTCCCCTCCTGGTGAAGGGGGGTCCGCCTTTGCAGGAGCATCTCTGAGGCCAGCAGTTGAAGGCAGAGCCCGACCGCAGCCCTCGGGTGACAGGAGGGCATGTGGCCCCCTGGAACCCATCTCAGCCTGGAGCGCGGTCTCTGAACCAGGCCCCTCTGCCTTTCCTCTCTCCAGCTTCAGCCTGATGGTCTCAGAGAAGCGGAAGGCCGAGGAGCAGCTGCGGGAAGCCCAGCAAGCCGCGAGGACAGAGCCCCCACGGGGCCAGCCAGGCCCTGAGGCCGGCGAGGAGCAGAGCGGTGAGGAGCAGAGTGCCGAGCAGGGCCCAGGGCCCACAGCAGGCAGCGAGTGCCCCATGTTGGAGCCCGAGGCGTTGCCCAGCCGCAGGTCCCCAGCAGGCATCTCCCCACCAGAGAAAGAGGTGCCCAGTGCTGAGAAGGAAGTCCCTCCCCCGAAGAGCATGACCGCGGAGGGTCACGAGAAAGCCCCCAGCAGCCGGGAGAAGCGAGAGTCGCGTCGGCAAAGGGGGCTGGAGCACGTGGAGTTGCAGAACAAGCACATCCAATCCTGCAAGGAGGAGGGCGCCTTCAGAGAACCTTCCAGAAAGACCATCCTGGAGCTGGGGGGCGGCCTCCCTGAAGACTGGAAGGAGAGCAGGAGAGGCGAAGCCCTGGCCGAGGCAGAGACAGAGGCTGCAGGCGCCCCCAGGAAGCCTTCGGTGGAGTCCCCGCCGGCTCTGGCCGTCAGCAAGGCCCCCGCAGACCTGGAGAAGGCGCCCCCCGAAGGGAGCCCCAGGCCCAGCCCCATGCGGCGGCCAACCAGCCTGGCCCTGGATAGCAGGGTGGGCCCGTCTGTGCCGGGCAGCACCCCCGAGACCCCTAAGAACAAGGGCAAGACTGGCGGCAGCCCGAGGGCTCAGGACAAGCCTGAGAGCCCTGGAGGCTCCACCCAGATCCAGCGGTACCAGCACCCGGACAGCGAGCGGCTGGCCAACGTCGTAGAGCTGTGGAGGGGCAAGAAACTGATGGCCGCTGCGGGCTCCGGCACCATGCTGAGCCAGTCTCTGGATCTCAGTGACAGGCACTGGAGCATGGGGACCGCCCTAACACCCACAGAGTAAGCCCCCATCCTCTGTCCAGGCAGCACGGTTGCCACGCTGGGTGGGCAGGGGGACGCAGGAGTGGTCATGCCCACTGGATGGGTGGGCGCCAGCTGGGCTTGTGCCCCACAGTGCCCTAAACGAGCCACGCCCACACGGAAAGCTCCTGGCCTGAGGGGGGCGGCCCTCAGAGGGGGGCACTCCCTCCCTGGCCCACCTGGACCCCAGTTTCCTCATCCGTGAGTGGGGCTGGCGACATACCGAGGGCTCAGAGGAGGGGCTTGCTCTGCTGACCCTGGTAAGCTGGATCCTAGTGACCCGAATCTCCAGCCCACAGCCCCTCCTGCTGCACAGGGAGGATGAGGCCGCTCCCCCCAGAGCAGGCGCCTCGTTCTGGGCGCTACTCAGGCTGCAGCCCCGGTAGTGGTCTACAGAGGGGGCTTCTTGGGGACCAACCTCGATGGATGCCAACAGCATTGTGGGTACAAGGCGGATGGACAGAGAGGTGCTGGAGACAGGTGGGGGTGGCAGACGGACGTGGAAGGAGAGGTCAGAGTGGAGGCCGTGAAGGCCAGGAGGGGCAGAGCAGTGCCGACTCAGGCTCAGATGGACGATGGACGGAGGCGCATCAAGGCGTAAATGTGCGCAGACAGGTGGAGGTGGCAGGTGGACAGACGGGCCTCTGGTGCTAAGGCAGGGATTGACCCCCGTGTGCTGTCACCATTGGGCCTGCAGAAGTGGTGTCCTGTGCGCTGGGAATATGTAGCAGTGTCCCTGGGCACCACCCGCTAGTTGGCAGTAGCTGATATTCAGAGGTCAACACAGGTGGGCACAGGATGGAGCACGACCAACACACACTGACCCAGGCAGGAGACAGACAGCAGACAGTGAGACCGCAGAGACAGGCAGCAAGCCATGGAGACTGACGGCAGGCGGCGCGGAGACGCAGAAAGTCAGGCTGCGAGGCGGGAGATGGGCACCAGGCCGGGGGTCAGGCCGTGCCTCTGCCTTACCAGCATCCAGGGGCCAAACGGTTTTCTAGTGGGGGCGTCCTGTGCCGGTCAGGGCACTGAGGGCATCCCTCGCCCCAGCCAGCAGGTGCCAGGAGCACCCATCCACTTGTACCTGCCAACCTTGATGACCACCACTCTCCAGACCGCCCGGGGTTCCTGGGAGGGGAGGGGGAGTAGCGGCACGCTGCCACGCTCTGTGGGTAAACTGCAGTCTGTGTTCCCTCAGGGAGCGGCGCACCTCCTTGTCCACGAGTGACATCTCCGGGCTCTCCCCCGCCAGGGCACAGGTAAGGCCACAGGGTACAGCCCTCACCTCCGGGCCCACGTCCACTTCCACCCTCACCAGAGAGGAGTGAGTCGGTGGCTAGAGGGCACAGTGGGAAAGCAAGGTCCCCAGCACAGACCACCTGCCTCTCGCCCACCCCCATCCACACCATCCTGTTGCAGCCGTCAGCAGAAACCGAAGGGGAGCTGAGCACAAAGAAGCCAGCCGTTCAGAAGAAGAAGTCAGGAGACATCTCCTCTAGCCTGGATGCAGGGCTGTCCCCAGGCTCCCAGCCTGACTCTAAGTAAGGAGATCGGGGAACTCAGGCCTCTAGAGGATGCCCCAGGGTCCCTGCCAAGGCATCGCCTCAGTCTACTCTTCTAACCCAATCACATAAATCAAGCACAAGGGGCAGGTGTTTGCTCAGTAGAGATTTCAGTGGGGGCAACTCAGGAGTCTCAGGTAGGAGGATCACAAGTTCAAGACCAGCCCGGACAACGTGGCCAGACTCCGACTCAAAAGACCAAAAAGGGCTGGGGGTGTAACTTAGTGGTAGAACATCCCTGAGCTTGATCCCTAGTACTAAAACTTCTTTGGAGAGGTCCCAAGCCCCTGCCTCAGAACCCACCCACTATCTGGGTGCAGTCGCACACACTTGTAATCTCAGCGGTTCAGGAGGCTGAAGAAGGAGGATCACAAGTTCAAAGCCAGCAACTTAGGCTCTGAGCAACTTCCTGAGACCCTGTCTCTAAATGTTAAAAAGGGCTGGGGATGTCTCAGTGGTTAAGTTCCCCTGGGTTCAATCCCCAGTACCAAAAAACAAAGACCCACCCACTGGACTTGCCCACAAAGCCTAGGCCTGTGGCATTCGTTAGCACAAGGTGGCCATGCCTGTGTGCAGGACACCCAGGAAACCTCTACCGCTGCGGGACACCTCCTCTGGGTCTGCAGACGGACGGTTTCCACGGAGTCAAAATCAGTCCTCACCTCTGGGAACCCTTTCGAGAGCCTCAAATAGTAAAATCTAGGTCGAGGTCTGTCCCCAGAGAGCCTCTGCCTGAATGTTCCAGCCGGTTCTTCACAGAGAGGATGGGCCATGGAGCAGTTGAGGTTTGATCCACACACAGGGCAGGTAACAGGAAGCCACAGGATGGGCTCCCTAGGCGTGGGGCCAGAGACCCCTGCTGCAGAGAGACCACCCACCTCACAAAGTTCTGCAACTTAAACAGGAGTTTGTCCTCAGTACTGGAGGCTGAAGGTCCAAACTCCAGGTGTCCTACTCCCTCCAAAGCCACATGGGGCTCCCTCCTGGCCCATCCAGCCGCAGGGGCTCCAGGCAGTGATCTCTGGCCACATCACTGCAGTTTCTGCCCATCTTCATACGGCCCTCTCCTCCCGTGTCTTTGCCCTTCTCTCCTCCTCAGGAGAGCATCGGGCAGCCTGGCCAGTCCAGGGTGCTATCCCAGAAACCGCCACTCAGACACACCCAAGACCCTTTCTCAGACATGATCGCACTGCACCTCGAGCCCAGGCGTCAAGCAGCCACGTCACATGTGCGTTCTGACTTGTTCTGGCTCTGCGCCTGTGAAAAGCACATCAAGGAGATTTTTTTTGCGGGTGCTGGAGGTCGAGCCAGGGCCACTCAACCAGTCAAGCACTGTACTGTGTCCCCAGCCTTTTTTTTTTTTTTCAGGGTCTCACTAAATTAGTGAGGTTGTCCTCAAACTTGGGATTCTCCTGCTTCAGCCTCCTCAATAGCTAGGATTGCAGCTGTGCCCCAGGCACCCCAGAGAGACCTCAGCATGAAAAGACAACAAGAAAGCACGTTGCTGTCTCCCCAGATCCACGTTTAAGAGACTCTTCCTACATAAAACTAAGGACAAAAAGTACATCCTGGAGGGCACGGAGGAGGCAGAGAGCCCCGCGGCAGGCCATGCTGTGCCCGAAGCCGCGGCCTCGAGGAAGAGTGCAGAAGGTCAGTGGCCGCCGGGCTAGAGGCAGAAGCCTCTGCAGACGCTGAGGTCCAAGCCACCAAGGTGGCCTCAGACGGGCACTGCACTTGGGTCCTGATGCTCTGCATTTCTGACAGCCCCAGGGGCCAGCCAGTGCCTCCCCAGATGCACCCTCACAGCTGTTCTGTGTCCCCACAGCCCTCTCCGGCCACCCACACCGCCACGCAGCAGGCGAGAAGCACACCAAGGAGACGGGGGGCAAAGGGAAGAAGAACCGAAACCTCAAGATCGGCAAGATCACGGTGTCTGAGAAGTGGCGGGAGTCAGTGTTCCGCAAGATCACCAACGCCAACGAGCTCAAGTTCCTGGACGAGTTCCTGCTCAACAAGGTGAGCCCTGGGGATGCCAGGGCAGAGGGGCACAAACTCCCCAAGAACAGCACAGGGGGCAGTCGCTGCCCTCGGCAGATCACAGTCCAGGGCCGGGTGAGGTGCCAAGGACAGGTGTCCTGGTGCCAGCCCCTGTACCACAGGAAAAGTCTCTGTTAGAACCCCAGAAGGTGTCCCTGTCCAGCTGAAGTCCACCTGCTGCCCAGCCTTCCAGGCTCCTGCCCATTCCTGTTCTGTTTAGAATACAGTGTTGCCAAATGCGACTGATTCATGGAGGACATTGATTAGGTGCCACAGAGGTGAAGGCGAACCAGCCAGGGCCAGTGCCTGGGGTGCTCATGGCCCACCTGGGGGTGATCCGGAGCTTCCCAGGAGAAGCAGGGGGTCGCTGAAGGGACACAGCAGTATCTCAGAGTGACCCAGACCCCTGACGCAGCCCACTGCAGGGTGTGGCTAGGCACAAGCTTCTGAATGGGGGGCAGGAAGAGCCTGGAGCCCTCCTGTGGCGGTCCTGTCCTCCAGGGCACATCGACTGGGAACATTCTAGTTAGGACTGAGCAGGAGCCCACTGGCATCGGGAGGGTGGAGGCCAGGGATGCTGCCCGGTGACTCGCAGTGCACAGGCCCATCCCAATACAGGGAATGTTCTCTCAGATACCAGAGGGCTGAGTTTTATCCTCTGAGGCCAGAGGAGAACTTAGGACAGGACAGAGCGACCCCAAAGCCTTCCCCAGCACTGCAGGTTCCCAGGCTCATGGCACTGCAGGGACAGGGCCTCTCTCTCCTTGCAGATAAATGACCTGCGCTCCCAGAAGACCCCCATCGAGAGCTTATTCACCGAGGCCACTGAGAAGTTCAGGAGCAACATCAAAACCATGTACTCCGCCCCGGTTCGTGGAAGCCCCAGGCCCTCGGCCTTTCCCACGCCCTCCCCGAGAGCTGTCCCCCGTTCTTGCACAGTCCCTTGCCCTGGGGTGACACCTGGCATTCCTGCAGAATGGGAAAATCCACGTGGGCTACAAAGACCTCATGGAGAACTACCAGATAGTTGTCAACAACCTGGCCACAGAGCGCGGCGAGAAGGACACCAACCTGGTCCTCAACCTCTTCCAGTCACTGCTGGACGAATTCACACGTGGCTACACCAAGAATGACTTTGAGCCTGCAAAGGTACATGTCCCCACACCCAGCCGTGTTCGCACCCTCTCTGCCCTGTACCTGCTTCCACCTGCCGCGCCCACCTCTGCCGCGCCCACCGCAGCCTGGGGCCCATCCCCCACCCCGCCCCACCCCACCTGTTTGCAGGGTCTTCCTTCCTCTCGGGGAGCTGGTGGTAGGGTTAGGGTGGGAGGCACCAGCTCCAGAGGAGGGAGGGGTCGTGGTGCGCAGAGGCTTCCAGCCTCCTCTGTGAGGGGCCAGAATGTCCCTAGGGACACGCGCCACCCTCTATCCCTACAACCAGGCAGGCCAAGTGTCCCTATGAGGACCTCACTTTTGTGTCCTTCTCAGCAGAGCAAAGCTCAGAAGAAGAAGCGGAAGCAGGAGCGTGCCGTGAGTAGGAGTGTGCGTGTGCGTGTGCGACTGCAGTTTTGCGCACAGGCATATTCTGCCTGCGGTGGACACGTGTCCCTACAGACATGCACGTGTGCGCTGTCTCCCAGCTCCTAAGGAGCCCTCTAGCTGGGCGGGCCCCCTGAGGAGCAGGGCGCCCCACGGTACTGGGGAGGCTCAGCCACTCTGCACCCCGCAGGTCCAGGAGCACAACGGGCACGTGTTTGCCAGCTACCAGGTGAGCATCCCGCAGTCCTGCGAGCAGTGCCTCTCCTACATCTGGCTCATGGACAAGGCCCTGCTCTGCAGCGGTGAGTGCCCCAGGCAGCAGCCCTGCCCGCACTGTACCCCATGACCTTTGCCCAGCCGCCAGTCTTTCTGGAACATCACTCCAACACATGTCACCCAGTGTCTCACTCGGTCACTCCCAAGACAGGGCTCAGTCCTCAGGTGGTCCTGAGGCCCACGGGCCAGTCTCACCACCTCTCACCACCTCCTCACACACGTGGGCGCGTCACCCTGCATCCTGTTGCCTGAACTGTCACCTCCTTCTCAGACTCGGGAGCCTGAGATAGGTGCAGGCCCTGGTCACGCCACTGCCAGGCAGCCAGGCAGGACTGAGCACAGTTGCCCCAGGGCTACCAGGCTCTGCACACCCTGCTGTTTTCTGCCAGAACCAGCAGGCCTGGGTCTTTTCAGATTCTGAAACCTTCCTCCTGTCCCCTTGCCCCCGTGTGTGAAGCATTCCCGCCACCCCAGCTGTCAGTGTCCTGAGATGAGGACTCGGAACTTGAGCCACCCGCTGGCTTACCCCCAAAAGCTGGCTCCCTCCTCTCAGCACAGCTGACTTCCGTGTCACATACCCTGGGGCTCGCTCGTGATCATTCAGAGCAGCATCACTCATGCCACATACTGCATCATGTCCCCAGGGCCACCTCCTGGCAGGACTAGGGCCTGGGTCCCCCTAAAAGCCTGTTCTTTGTCCGAGTGGCCATCTGGGTCCAGTCTGAAGTGACTAATGGTCACCAGCTCTGAAAACCTGCCCTGCATCCCTTATGGGAATCAAGGCAGAGACGAGAGCAATGCAGTTGAGAAGGCAGTCAGGCCCGGCCAGTGAGGTGGGCAGTCCAGGAACCTCTGCCCTGTACCCCCTACAGTGTGCAAGATGACCTGCCACAAGAAGTGTGTGCACAAGATCCAGAGCTACTGCTCCTACACGTGTGGGAGGAAGGTGAGGAGTGTGCTCAGGTCCAGAACTTTCTAGAACACTGCCCAGGGCAGCGGGGGAAGCAGTACTTGTGAGGGCCACGTGAGGCACTGGGCAGGCACAGGGAGGTGGCAGGAGGGGCTGCAGCCTCTGATTGTGCAGCACAACACACTTGTCTCCAGTTGTGAGGCCCCCAAGGCAGGGGCTGGACATCTCAGACCCTCGGCCCCTGGGAGAGTCCAGGCTTAGCAGGGGGACACCTGTCCACTGTGACACAGAGAAGTGGAGTCCTGAGTGTTGGGCGTGAGCAAAAGTCAGCATCCACTCATTTGAGGGGGCCCCAAGGGCCAGGGAGGAGCCTCTCCCCCAGAAGATCCTACTCTGTGGGTGCTGCGTGGAGGGACCCCCTGCCTGGTGGCCATCAAGCTGACATCTGCAACCTGGTGCCCCCAGCAGCTGTGCAAGAGGGGACAAAGGAGCAGGGAGGGATGGCACCTACAGAGGGGGGCCATGCCTCTGCAGGATAGGGAGGGAGGACCCAGGACGGGTAGCTGGAGCCTGACCCCCTCCATGTTCTGCAGAGCGAGCCAGGCGCTGAGCCAGGCCATTTTGGCGTGTGCATGGACAGCCTGACCAGTGACAAGGCCTCAGTGCCCATCGTGCTGGAGAAGCTTCTGGAACACGTAGAGATGCACGGCCTGTACACTGAGGGCCTCTACCGCAAGTCAGGTGCTGCCAACCGGACTCGGGAGCTCCGGCAAGCGCTGCAGGCAGGTAGGCCTTGCGGGCAGGTGGAGACCAGGCGGGTGGACCTGCGCCAGGCCCCTCCCGGGTCTGCCTGCGCCACTCACCAGCCTCTACCCGGCAGACCCCGCAGCAGTGCGGCTGGAGGACTTCCCCATCCACGCCATCACGGGCGTGCTGAAGCAGTGGCTGCGGGAGCTGCCTGAGCCCCTCATGACCTTTGCCCACTACGGCGACTTCCTCCGGGCCGTCGGTGAGCCCCGCAGCACGTGGACATGGGGGGCGAGCCTTGGTGGCCCCGTCAGGAGAGAGACAGAGCATGCGCTCTGGCCAGCCAGGGAGGAGTCCGCCCGCCTCGGGTCCTAGTTAGGGTTGGGTCCCCGAGGCCTACCATTGCTGCCACACACCATCCCGAGGACCACGCAGGGCGGCCCCCTGCACCGAGGCACGCGGGGGAAGCTGGGAGGCCCAGGGTGGCTGATGCCCTCCACCTCCCTAGAGCTCCCAGGAAAACAGGAGCAGCTGGCCGCCATCTACGCGGTGCTGGAGCACCTGCCAGAGGCCAACCACAACTCCCTGGAGAGGCTCGTCTTCCACCTCGTCAAGCAAGTACCACCCCCACCCCCACCCCGCCCCACCCGCCGACCTGTAAGGCGTCCATTCCAGTGCAGCTGGCCTGATGGCTCCACACTGAGACACCTGCCAGCCTTGGGGTCTGGGAGGGGACCAAGCCCACCAGACTTCAGGGCACCTGGGGTCCTTTGTGGCACCCCTCCATGCCTCCCACCCCTGGGATGCAAAGCTTCTTTCCTGGAAGCTGCCCAGGCCCCCGGGAGCTCCCTCTCTGGGCCGCGGCTGCTCCCTAACTGTCAGTGGCCTTGCAGGGTGGCCCTGCTGGAGGATGTGAACCGCATGTCGCCCGGGGCGCTGGCCATCATCTTCGCACCCTGCCTCCTGCGCTGCCCCGACAACTCAGACCCGCTGACCAGCATGAAGGACGTCCTGAAGATCACCACGTGAGTACCAGGAGGAGCCGGCCTCCCAGACACACCCCACCTGGCGTAGCCCAGCCTGTGATGAAACCAAGGAGCCTGACCAAAAACCCCTGCGACATCTCCCCATGGCCGTGTGCCGCTGTGTATAGAGAATAGTCTGGAGGTGACAGTGGCCCTGGAGTCCTCCTGAGCTGTGGAGCCATAGATCAGCTTCACGTGGCTGCTCTGCCCTGCAGTTTTTTCTGTGGCGCGGGTGGAAGTCCAGCCTCGCACACCTGAGGCCAGCAGCCAGCTCCGAGTGGCCCCACCACCCACCCCTCGTTCCAGACGTGCTTGGGAGCAGCCACTCTGGACTAAGACCAACTTTTAGCAAAAGCCATGAGGTGAGGGGACTGGGGTTCCTGTCACTGCCCAGAGTCCAGCCCTGCAGACAGCACCAAGGTGGTACTCACCCAGGCTGGTGCAGATGCCACCTCTCGTCATTTCTCAAGCAGTGTGGGTCCTCTGAGTTCTTCTGAGACCAAAAGAACAAAAAAAAAAAAGAGAGAGAGAGAAATCCCTCCGACCCTGTGGCAGGGGGGGTGACAAACTGCTGGATTTTTCCAGAATTTTCTTCCCCACCGGACCATTTTCTTCCCATCTGACGATTCTTCAGAACTCTGGGGCTGGGGGTGGTGACAGAGGCTATAATCCCAGCAACTCAAGAAGCTGAGGGCTGGGGTTCCAGGCCGGCTTGGGCAACTTAGCAAAACCCTGTCTTAAAGAACTCAGGAGGTGGTCAGTCATCCATGATAGCAGGGTTTTTAGGTTAGTAGTTGTGGAAATCAGAGCCCATCACACAGGTGGCTTTGTGTGGCAAGCACACACGAAGGTGGCCTGAGAGGAACACCATCTCGTGGGCCCCAGCCGTGTTCACAGACCCCAGCAAAAAGCAGGCAGGCAACAAGGGACACGAGGTTCTGGCACTGCCCGGGGGCACAGCATCAGCAGATCTGCCTCCAGCCTCTCCTGGCAGAGCCTGTGACCCTTCTCTTCTTATGGGGTCATGATAAGGGGGCCAGGGGCAGAGACCATCTGTCCACCCAGCCTGAGTCTCCATTACTGACCGCCCCCAGCTGAGGTCAGAGCTCATGTTCTGAAGCCCCGGGGCTGGCTGCTCACTGGCCCTGTGACAAAATGCCAACCTGCCTGCACCCCTTACACCTCTGCAAGGTAGGATAGTCCCCACCCTTCTGCTCCCTCTAACCCTCCCTGTTGTTCTTCCTCTTCCAACAGGGAGGCTTATAGATACAGGGAGCTCATGGCCCAGAGAGGGGGACTGAACTGCCTGAGGTCACACCGCATGGGAGCCAGGGACCCCAGCTGTGTCCCTGACTCCGCCAGCTCTCTGAGCCTCTCTTCCTTCAGTCCCTGTGCCACAGTTCTCGACTAGCACCTACCTGAGCTCAGGGCACCCCCAGGACAGGAACTGAATCCCTGCCTGCTTTGCTGCTTCCCTGTAGGTGCGTGGAAATGTTGATCAAAGAGCAGATGAGGAAGTACAAAATAAAGATGGAGGAGATCAACCAGCTGGAGGCTGCGGAGAGCATCGCCTTCCGAAGGCTCTCGCTCCTGCAACAAAATGCTGTGAGCACCCAGGACAGCGAGGAGGGGGTGCATGGGCGGGGCCTCAACAGGAGACCTGATCGTGGGTGGGGCCGTGGGGCGTGCTTGTGGGCAGTGGGCGTGGTCTCGCTGCCCACGTTCTCCCGCCGACTCCCAGCTCCAAGTTGGACACAGGCTGCTGGGGCCTCATGACGGCACGGGTAGGGGCAGAGTTCCTGGCTTGACCAGACGGTTACAGTCCACGCCCAGCCTCACACCAACCAACTGTCCCTTTCAGTGGACGGGGTGGAGGGACCTGGTACCCGCTTGGTGGTACTTTGGGTCATCTGTCTGGCCTTGTCTCTTGCTGCCCTGGGTCCCACCCACAGAAAGATGTTCCCAGAGCAGGAAAAGAGTCCTCACGTGGTGGGGCAGGGGTCCAGGGGGGAGCGGGTCCTGGGCTCCCAAGAGAGCCCCGAACACTTCCCTGTGCCAGCTGCTGCACAGCCCCCTGCTCGTGCCTGCGTCGCAGTCTTGGTGCTTTTGTTCACCCTGTCTTCATCTCTCCCCCAGCCCTGGCCTCTCAAACTGGGGTTTTCGTCTCCCTATGAGGGGGTCCTGGTATGTACGCGCTCTGTGGGTCCTCGGTGCATGTCTCCCAGTGCGTCGGTGCACGCTGGGGTTCCCTTGGCCCCGGGTTCTCGTAGCATAGACCGAGCATGTCCTAGCCTTCCACGTGCATGCTGGGGGTGGCCCTTTGCCTGCTGACCCTCCGTGCTGAGGACCACTAATCAGCCAAGTGCCAGCCACTCTGTCCCTGCAGGATTCCTGAAGTCTCACCAAGAGCCCAGTGGGGCCTCTGCAGAACTAACCTCCCTTGGAGCCCCTTGGTCCGCCTGAGAGCACTAAGCTCCGCCCCCACCGCCTGAGAGCACTAAGCTCCGCCCCTTGAGGGTGCTGGTCAGACTTGTTCCTTCCCTATTTTCAGAACAAGAGCCCCAAGGCCCAGGTGAGCAGGGACAGCAGCCTGGAGGAGCTAGAAGTGCTGCCTGAGGAGGAGGCAGGGGCTGGTGACGAGGACCGAGAGAAGGAGATCCTCATGGAACGGATCCAGTCCATCAAGGAGGAGAAGCAAGTGTCCTTTCCCCCCTTCTCCCTGAGCCCTGGCTACTCAGTACCCGTCCACTGGCCCCACAAGCAACAGAGGGTGTGATCTTGGACACTGCTGGGCAGGGTCTATGCCAGGTGGTCTGCCTGACCTTGCCAGGCTCAGTTCTATTGTACCTAGCACAGAGCAGAAAATATTCACCTTGTGGGACACTGCTGTCCCCAAACTTGACCATGAACCCTTGCAGTAGCTCTCTTTAAACCCAGATTTGGGCTGAGGTGTAGCTTAGCGGTGGGGTGCTTTCACAGCGTGGGGGCCCTGGGTTCCATCCCCAGCACCACCAAAAAAAAAAAAGAAAGTCCTCTTTTTTGAGGCAGATGTCATGGTACACCCAGGAGAACTGTTAGGTCTGGGCCTTCAAGGCCAGCCTGGACAACACAGGAACCCCATTTCAAAAAAAAATGGTTAACCAGGAAAACAGATGTGACCAGGTTATTTGGCCACCTTACTCTTAGGAACAGGGGACATTGCTCCAGGCAGAGGACAGCACGAGCCGCAGCCCCACGGTGGGAGCACATCACTAGCTCAGTGCTGGGCAGATGCCCGGCTCCCCTCAGCACCTGAACCCCGGGCTGTAAGCAGCCTCAGAGGGCCCAGAGCATTTAGGCCAAGTGTGGACAGACTGCCCTGTCCCTGTCAGCACTTTCCCTGGGTGGGGGGGGGTGCTCCTCATGGTGGGAGCAGCCTTGGACACAGTGACCCCTCACCCTCAGGGAGGACATCACCTACCGGCTACCAGAGCTGGACCCTAGGGGCTCTGACGAGGAAAACCTAGACTCGGAGACGTCAGCCAGCACCGAGAGCCTGCTGGAGGAACGGGCCGGGCGGGGGGCCTCGGAAGGTCAGTATTAAGGTCATGGCCACCTCGCTCCTTCCCGTCCATCCCAGCAGCCCCCGGGGCATGGGTTCATCTGCCCACCCCAAAGCCACAGTAACCCTGCCATCTGTCTCTCAAAAGGGCCCCCCACGCCTGCTCTCCCCTGCCCCAGTGCGCCCACCCCGAGCCCCCTCCCCACGGCAGCCGCCCCTCCACGACGAAGGCCATCCTCCTTCGTCACGGTCAGAGTGAAGACCCCCCGGCGGAACCCCGTCATGCCCATGGCCAACATCAAGCTCCCGCCTGGCCTGCCCATCCACCTTCACGGATGGGCGCCCAGGGCCCAGGAGGCTGCTGTCCCAGTGAGGCGCCGAGAGCCCCCTGCCCGCCGCCCGGACCAGGTTCACTCAGTGTACATCACGCCCGGGGTGAGCCTGCCTGCGCAGGGTGCCCTGGAACCCCTGGAAGAGGACGACCGGCCTCCTGGGTTCAAGCGGAGGTACTCAGACCCCCCAATGTACCGCCTGCCCCCCGCCTCGGGTCAAGCCAACGGCTGAAGGCGCCAGCGACAGTCTGCGTGTCTGAGGACGGCCCTGTGCTGGAGCCGGGCACCTGAGCTGTGGAGCCAGCCTCTAGCAGAAAGACCCAGAACAAACAGCTCTAAGAGCAGATCGAGGTAGCCTAGGCTCCAGGTGCAGGCGTGGCAGGACCCCGGGGTCCACGCGGCGCCCCATGCACCGCGGCGCCTGCAGCACCAGGTCTATGGCAGCCCGTGTCTCCCCCTTGTGTGTTTTTACAGTAACTGTTTTTTTGTGGTTTACATAACTTTAAACTGAAACAGCCTTAACGGAAGACCAAATCGTTTTTTATATGTTTATGTTCAAACTTTTATATTAACGCTGTGCGTCTCCCTGGTGACCTGGACTGGTCCTCAGTGCGGGGCCACTCGCTCAGCTACATGCTGCATCCAGTCAGTGGGCAGTCATCGAACTGGGACCCTGCAAGGAGGGGTTAGCCCCTCGGGGCACCTGACCTCCCCAGTCTGTTTCCAATGCTCATCTCCGGCAGCAGCGGCCACCTGGCCACCTGGCCACGTACATTCCAGGGAACACTGGAGCCTTCCACAGGGTCAGGCTGTTGGCTAGAGCCAGGATATGAATCAGGAATGGCCCTCAACCCAGGCAGCACCAACCTCGAATCCCAGGGAGACCTGAATGTGCTGTCTCAGCTCTCTACTGTGCCTGGATGCCGGAGGCTCTAGGAGGCTGCCCTGGGCACTGCCTGCCCTGTGTGACATGAGCCAGTGACTCAGGACCATTAGGGGTGGGTTGGGTAGGGCAGGGAGGGCAAAGCCTGCAGTGCACATCCCTGCAGCAGCAGCAGCAGCCTGGGGGTGCGGGGAGTGGAGCCTCCCCTCTCAAGCTCCACCCACTCCCCCGGGCACTTGGACACTTGGCCACAGGCCTGGGACAAAGGGCACTCTGCACAAGGTGTGAAATAAAGAAAAAGTGCCTGTGACTGTTTTGGTGGGATTCTTGCTCAGTCTGGCTTTGGGGTGGGAGTGGGGTCAGCCCTGCAGCCTCAGCCGGAGGGTTGTGGGGACCAGTTTGACACTCCACCAAAGGTGCTGTGGGACTTTCATGAACTCTTCGCCTAAGGAAGATAAGCTTGGCTCGTTTCTGAGGTTTGGGGAGGGGGCCGGGGACTTGGTTTGAAGTGCTGGGTCCCAGGGCCTCCCACATGCTAGGCAGGCGCGCTCTGCCTCCTGAGCTGCACAACCAGCCCTTTCTGTTTATTCTGAAATAGGAGCTCACTTAGGCTGTCCAGGCTGACCTTGAAATTGCCTTAGCCTACCGAGTGGCAGGGATTGCAGGTGTGCCCACCTGAGATGGGCTTCTTTATTGACTGGGAAAGCTGAAGGAGTAGGGAGCTCCCAATAGCGCTGCCTCATCTCCTGCTTCAGCAGCAGCCTGCGCCCAGCTGAGGCGTAATGGCTGAGCATCTCTAATCCAAACGCTCCAAGATCCAAAACTCTTGAGCACTGACACACATCACAGATGGGAAATTCCATACCCAGACTCCCACAAGGGGTCTCTGTCAAAACACTATAACGTTGCACACAAATGCCCTCTGGGTCTAGAGGTGTAACTGGGCAGTAGAGCACATGCTCATCACACCAGAGCCCTGGGTTCAACCCCAGCACCAAAATGAATTACGTCAGACTCTCTGTATAAGGCATATGAGACAAATCAAGTTTGTGTTTGCACTTGGGTCCCATCTCCAGCATATCTCAGTTATGTATAAATACTCGAAATTCCTCAAAGCTCAGAAATCCAAAAACAGCTGAACACAAGCAGTTCCCATTGGAGATACCTAACCCGTATCAGTGCAGAGGCCACGCACCCCGTGGAGGGGCAGTTCCTTATGGGTGGGGTAGAGCCAGGAGCAACCACTGCACAGGTGGGCCAACCCCATGAGCTGCTGTGAGAACTGATTGGCATGGGCCCCAGGGGACCCTGAAGAAGTCCAGCAGGTGCTTGGAGAAGCGCGGAGGTTGGTCCATGGCCACGTGGCTGGGAAGGGCTGGGGGTAGGATTCACATGTCAGCCTCTAGAGGTCACTCTATGGGCCCTAGGTTTGGTCTCCTCTCTGGTCTTTTCAGGCCCATCTATGTGACCAGAACATGGGGGATAGGAGAAGTGGGGAGACTGATGAGAGCTCATGCCCCCACCCTCACTACACTCCTGAAAATCTGCGAGAACTCTGTCTTCCTAGGGATCTGGATAGGCTCTCCCAGTTAGGCGTGGCCTAGCCCTACGTCTAGCTCCAAGGCTACTCAAGTCCTCCTGGAGGCAATAATGAGACGTGTTGTCCACTTCCCAGAAAAAAAGCGCAGAAAAGAAATCCCTTCAAGGTCATGCAGAGTCAAGAGTCCGGTGCGCGGCGAACGCCTGTAATTCCAGCAGCTGTGGAGGCTGAGGCAGGAGGATCACGAGTTAAAAGCCAGCTTCAGCAACAGCGAGGCGCTAAGCAATTTAATGAAACCCTGTCTCTTAAAAAAAAAAAAAAAAAGACAAAACAAAGCAAAAATCAGAGCTGGGATAAAAATGGATGAGCCCCTCCGACCAGAAAAATCAGAGTCTGGAGTCATATAATGAAGCAAGGAAGGGCCCAGGATTCCTTAGTCCCAGGTCAGGGGTCCGCCCCCTTAGAAATCAGGGAAGAATGCCTGGATGCGGAAGAGCTCGGTGTCAGAATAATCCAGGCAGGATTCTGAACAGTCGGAACCGAACACCCAAAGGGCAAGTCGCACGTGGGCCTGACACCAGAAGACCCGATCCTTCCAACCCTTTAGGAGAATCGAGATGCTCACCAGGAAGAGCAAGCGATTTCGCCCTGAATAAATATGGACGCGACAGCGCCTCCCCTAGCAACAAGCCTTACTTCCACCTTAAATAACTGTGGGCTAATGAGCGCGAAGGTCCGCCCGGAAGGAGGCCGGAAGCAGCCACTTCCGCCATCCCTAAAGATGGCGCCGGCGGAAGGGGCAGGATACAGCCCGGTAGCGATGGCAGCGTCGAGGCTGGAGCTTAACCTGGTGAGGCTGCTGAGCCGCTGCGAGGCAATGGCAGCGGAGAAGCGGGACCCAGATGAGTGGCGCCTGGAGAAGGTGAGGGGAATCCCACGCTGCCGCGTACAGCCTAACTCCTGGAGGGCGGCTCCTTGGGTTGGCAAGCCCCGGGCCTCATTCCCCGGCCCCCGCCACCTCACTGCCACGCCCCTTCCGGTCAGCTCCGCCACGTCCACCTGCTGCAACCGTGCATAGTACCAAGTGCCCCGCCCCCCCGCGGCCCCTCCCCGGCGTTTGATCCCTCCCTTCCCACCCTCCGGCCTGGCGCCGCCCCTCTCGTGGCTCCCACCCATGAAGCTAGGTAACACCCTGTTCTTCCTCCCCAGTATGTGGGGGCCCTGGAGGACATGCTTCAGGCCCTGAAAGCCCAAGCCAGGTGAGTGGGCTTCAAATTCGGATGTAGGAGTTCTCTCAGGGCACCCCAGGGCTCCGGTGCCTGCCCTGGACCCCTTCCTGAACTAGAGAGAGTGGGCAGGTTTCTTTTTCCTCTCCTCGGTCTTCCAGCAAACCAGCCTCCGAGGTGATCAATGAATATTCCCGCAAGGTGGATTTTCTGAAGGGGATGCTGCAGGCAGAAAAGTTGGTGAGCAGGGCTGGTTCTGCCTCCTCAGCCCCCATCAAGTGCACCAGAGCCCCAGTGCCTTCAGTTACCTATCTTCCCACATTTCTACAGACTTCCTCCTCAGAGAAGGCACTAGCCAACCAGTTCCTGACCCCTGGTCGCGTGCCGACCACCGCCAGGGAGCGTGTGCCTGCCACCAAGACGGTACATCTGCAGTCCCGGGCACGGTACACCAGCGAGATGCGGAGTGAGCTGCTAGGCATGGTAGGCTCCCTCCCTTGTTCCTGGGAACCCCTGCCAGGATAATAAAGCAGAGCCCAACAGCTCTTCCGTGGGCCAGCAGACAAGCCTTCCCAAGAAAGGGCCATTGTGGCCAGGCATTTGTTCGATGATTCAGTACACAAATGAGAAATGTGTTGAAGCCCCAGAGTTAACCCCCACCCCCAGCAGGATTTGGCTCCTGGCTTGCCATTTTCAAGAGACAGGCAGGTTTCTTCATCTATAAAATACGATGAGAGTTGCTTTTCTGAGTACTTCACATGCATCAGCTCAGCCCTTCCAAATGTGAACTGCTGTCATGACCAGTTTATAGATGAGGAAACCAAGGCTTGCAGGTCACAGGATTTGCCCAGGCCTCTGAATAAGGATATGGAAGTTTTTTGGGGGGGTTCGTTATTAGTTTTTTGTTTTTTAATATTTTTTAGCTGTAGATGGATACAATATCTTTGTTTTAATTATTTTTTATGTGGTGCTAATAATAGAACCCAGTGCCTCACACATGCTAGGCAAGTGCTCTATCCCTGAGCCACATCCCCAGCCCAAGTCTGGAGAGCAGAAAGGACAGATTTGGGATAGGATAGGGTGGTGACTTCATCTCTCTCCATTCTTCCAATAGGACTCTGCTGGAGGTGAGTGACTGAATGAAATAGGACTCAAGCCCAGGTACCTGGAACAAAACACATGTCCCTGCTGCTCCCAACCTGGCTCCCACAGGTCTTCCCTGGTCCAGGGAGAATGTCACCCAGTAATGTCTGGAGGGCAAGTTAGGACAGAGGAAGTGGCCCCTGGAAGAGAGAGCTGAGCACTGCCAGGCCACAGGACCAAGGCTGGCCTAGATGGAGAGACCTGGGGTCTTGAGGAGCCCAGTCAGTGTTGGGAAAGACTTTCTACAAGAAGGGACATTCTAGCTAAAGCTTTGAAGTATGATTAGGAGCCCACTGGGCAGCAGCCCAGGTGAGGAAATGGCATGCCAGGTAGCAGACAGGGCCCAGGCAAAGATCAGGAGGCTTGAAGCAGAAACCAATCTCTCCTTCTTGCTGCTTGGCCTCTTTTGCTTCCAGAGCCCGAGCAGGACGTGAGGAAGCGAAGGTGAGTGTCTCCAGCCTTCTGGAATGGGTGGGGAGGGGGCTGCAGAAACCTTGGGCCACTGAGGTGCCGCTGCAAGTCACCCAGTAGAAGCCACTTCTGAGAACGCTCTTCCCAGAAGCCACACAAAGAAGGGGAGACAGTCCCCAGCAGGGCATCGGCTGGGGCCACAACCTCCAGGCTCTTTGGGAACATGGCCGTCTCTTTCCCTCCCTGCTCCACCTCTCCTACCCGCACATCCCCCATGTGTGGATCAGTGGGGTGGCGGGGCCCAGGCCTGTGGACGAGAAGCAGTCAGCAGCTGAGCTGGACCTCGTCCTGCAACGACACCAGAACCTCCAGGAGAAGCTGTCAGAGGAGATGCTAGACCTGGCCCGGAGCCTCAAGACCAACACGCTGGCTGCCCAGAGCGTCATCAAGAAGGACAACCAGGTGTGGGGGTGGGAACTCTCCAGCCTCTGCCTTGGGGCATCAGAGGTGGCTTCTCAGGAGGGGGGGCGCTGTGGCTGGGTTCTGCTGGACCAATAGGAGTTTGGTAGGAAGCCAAAGTAGTGGCAGTCCCAGCAAAGGGCAGAGCATCGGCACAGATGGAGAGGTGCAGCCTGCCCTGGGGTGGCCCCAGCCCTGTTGACATCCTGTCCACCTCGTCCACAGACGCTGTCACACTCACTCAAGATGGCTGACCAGAACCTGGAGAAGCTGAAGACAGAGTCGGAGCGGCTAGAGCAGCACGCACAGAAGTCGGTCAACTGGCTGCTCTGGGCCATGCTCATTATCGTCTGCTTCATCTTCATCAGCATGATCCTCTTCATCCGCATCATGCCCAAGCTCAAATAAAGACCGGCTCCACCCTGTGTGTCCTGTCTGCCCTCGACCCATCTAGGAGGTCCCCTTGAAGGGGGATGGAGACAAGATGGGAGGGTCGTGGGAAGTCTCCAGGAGCCACAGAGAGTGGATGAG